GACGTACTGAAGCCAACAATTAAGTTTGTATTACAAAATTTAAGTTTACATTTCAATTGTATGTTTGTGTTGTTTCTGTTTTTTTTTTTAATTTTATAATGTAATAATCTAATTAATTGTCTTTATTTCCATTAAAAAAAACATAATTTTTTTTTCTTACAAGAAACCCATGTAAGTTTCTACCAATGGACCATTAAAAAACATGGTTTCTTTTAATAGTTTCTTGATACAAATCAATTCATTAAATATTCATAAGAAACTTATTAGAGGTAATACCAATAATCATGCTCTTAGGTAAGGAACGATTCATCAAAAATATTAAGTTTTCCATTTAAATTTAATTGCTTTTAGCTATGAAACTGTGCATTTCTGGAAAACACTCTGATGGAGCTGCTCTAAGACAATGTTATAAACAAATATTTATCAATAATTAATAGTACAAACTAAAACAAAAGTAGCAAATACTATTAGTTTTTTGTCAGCTAGAAGATAGATATGTCATTGCATGCATTTGAATCGTTGAAAGAAGGAACCTGCAAGAGAGTCAAGAAGAGTGGACTTTCCGGATCCAGAAGGACCCATTATAGCCATGATCCGACCCGGTTCTGCATACCCGTTTAGCCTTTGTAGCAACCTACGGGTCGGACCATCACTGAAGTTTGGTATAACCACCGTCAAGTCTTCCCACGCCAAATATGCTCCACGGCTCATCTCCGCCTTCGAAGGCAGCTGCCTCCGGCAACTACTCGAGCCCTCTAGCTCCATAGTTTTTTTTTTCTCTCTCTCTCACTAGCTACTTTAAATTTTGTTTGTTTGTTCTAGTTTCTTTTCTTGTTGATCGGAGAGCGAATAAATAAGAAAGGAATCGAAAAAAAACCAAATAAGATAAAGAGACTAGTAAAACTTTGGAATCACCAAACAACTAAATTCATTTAATGGATTGTCTTTAATATGGCAACATTTATAAGTGCGCATGTAATATCTACATACGTATACTATATAGTTTTTCTTTAAATGCGTATAGAGAGGGAGATGGATGGATGGATGGCACGCTTATTTATATATGTAAATAGTGCGTTTAGATAATGGTCCAAATTTTTTTTTTCGTTAAAATAATGGTCCAAATTTGATCCAAGAAAATATCCATTGGTTTACAGTCTATTGGTTTATTGTAATGTTGTCCTAGATGTCACCGTGTTAAAATCCGATTTCAAATCTAGTAAAACGTATGTAGTTAACATAACAAATGGCATAATGGTTAAGAGTTATGCATCTTATATAGTTAGTCGTATAGATTAAGATTTACATTTCAATACATTAATTGAGATGATTAGCCGCTAAAAGCAATTCTATGAAATGATTCTGACATGTTTAAACGCGAAAACGATGTGATCTCGCAAACATGTTTCACTTAATTAAGCAGCTGTGCAACTTGAGTTTCGCGAGAGATAGAGAGGGAAAGCTATTAAAAATTTAGGAATGAAGGATGATCTCAAACTGTTCGTACTTATTAAAAAATGTGGACAAAAATTCGACACGGAAATAGAATTGTTCATATCATTACGAATACGTACTGTTTATCTAAAGTTAGTTAAAAAGATTCATGGATACTAAAGTCCAATGAAAGCAAAGCAAAATCAATGCAAACTTAACGAACACAAGTCACTTCATAATTAGAATTTTGTAAGATTCAAGATTTATTTATTTATTTATTTTTGTTAAAGGGTCTTCATTGTAAGATTCAAGAATGACAATTACTTTATAACAACATTGGAAATTTGGAACTCTGGAAAAATGATTACACCTCTTATTTACTAAGCACATGAAGTTATGAAGAACATTACATAGTGGTCTCCTATAATTTTTACGTGATCGACATTCGAAATTCTCATATTCAAACGAGAAAAATGAAATATACTGTACTGAAAATAGAAAGTGGTTAAAAAAGCAGAGAGTCATGGGTCTTAATGAAAAGGGTAAATAATTAAATGCGTGGGCGTGGTTGGCACCCCATATGCTTATATATGGTTACATTCATTTTGGTTTTATGAAATGATTCTCCATTTACGATGGTTTAAGTTTGTTATGGCCTAACTTTATTTATCATAACAATATGATGGACATGGAATTTTCAAAAAAGAAATGAAGTAATCAACTGTGTAAGTATTGCAAATCCTTAGTTGGGTTGCCACTTGCCACATTCTTCAAGACTTAAAAGTACTATGAATTGAATTTGAACCGAGAGGGTAATAATATAGAACAAAAAAATAAAAATCAAAAGTTTGAATAACGTATATAGGCACAGTCTCATAAAACTTGACACCTACCAAATTAAAAGTGAAAGCTATATCATTGGTTGGCATGATGTATTGTCAACACCTATTCAGATATATACACCCACCCATTTTACCCTACAATGTAACGTTAGAAGTAGAACATAATGTGTGGTAAGAAAGATAAAATATAAGGCTATGAGAATATAGTGTTAATTAATGTGATATGTAGATAACTAAGTTGCAAAACCTAGCTCGAGTTTTTTATTCCTTTACGATCCAACATACTCAGGCCCAGTCAACACTGATCCATCTGTGTAAGAAACTCACCATCACTCTCTGTGATTCTTCAAAAGTCTCATATTCTATCAAAAGCATAATCATGATCAACAAGACAAATAATAATTCTTTTATCAAACAAAATGCAATTAGTTTATTAAACCCATTAGAAGCGATCATATAGAGTGATCTTATCTATCTTCGGATGAATGCTCTTACGCTAAAGCCATTGAAACAAAACAATCCTTCAAGTTATCCGGTTTAATTTTGGGGAAGAAATCAATGTGATTTGGTTTAATGAACCAAAGTTGGTTTCTTTACTTGGACTAACGGTTGAAGACTCTTAACGTTTCTGCAAGACAGGATTATATATATCCTTGAAATCAAATTTGGTTTATTTCACCAAATCACACTGATTTATTCACTCAAAAGCTGAACAATTCCTATTCCTATTAACTGAAATATATTAGCTTAAATAGCTAAGTCTTTAGTTAATGAAACTAGAATTAAATTAACTGAAACTCATTTCTTCTATGTTAAAATGCAACCAACAACTGAAAGAACCACCACACACATGACACATTGCAAGCAGAAGGAATATACATCTTTTGGGCGGCCACTCAAAATTTTTCCTTTGCTCTGGAAACATGGTTCTCTTCTTTTGGAAATGTAATGGGCTTTACATGGGCCTTTATGGGAAGATAAAAATCTCTATCTGGAAATAAATGATTTCAGCATTTACATGGAAAATAGACTAGGGAGCAAACTTGCCCAAAAGAACAAAGTAATGTATTCAAAAATTGTAACATGATTTGTTTCTTCCTTTTTTCTGGCATTCATGATGTGACAGCTACTCATACACACACCTAGGATACTAAAAATTATAGAGCCCATATTTAATCTATAAAATTGTTAGATACTGGCCCTTCATAGTCATCATTGTTCTATCCATTTCCGGAAAATGTAAAATCTTATTAAGTCAAATACTAATACTACTTTTTTTATAGCAAAAAAGATAAAACTACAGAGAAATTACTGGAAATTTTCTTTTTGGCAAATTGATAATTCTCGTTTTCCATGTTGAGCATTTACTTTTGTTTCATTATTGTCTGATGCATGGCTCTGGCAAATAATACGAACTCTGGTCAAATTGACTATGACCATTGAGTACCTCACGTGTCCCCGTAAAGCAATCTTACATCCTCCTGCTACACTTTTAACGGTAAGGATTCGAAGAGAGTATTTAAAGCTACGTGCACTCGTCGTAGTGGAATATTCCCAACTGAAAAAAATTTATGTCACGCGCGGGTTTTAGTGAGTCAGGGGAAAAGTAAGCGCGATTATCGAAGCAGTCCGGTTCCAGATTTTTGCGGTAAAAAAAGAATAAATAAAAAAGAATGGTTATGGATCAATTTGTTTTTGATTTCTATCAAATATTATTATTTATAGTTGTTCCTTTTCTCAATTCTGTATATCATATGGGTGTCACACGACATATATGGCAGACAAAGCCTCTATGTTCTCTGAAATTCAAAACTATCGCATACTATACAAGATTATGCATAGTGTATTAAGATACAGAAATATATTTAATGTGATGATGAAAATAATAAAATTAACTATCAACTTTCGTTCTTCTCGTTTTAAGAATCAACCAACTAAAATATAACACGTAAAATTATTTTAGACCGAATTAATTTTTTAACTTTTCTAAAGTACAACCCTTCTATATTTAGGCATTAGCAAAACTAAAAACTAAAAAACTTCGTATCTCTTGGTATTATATTTTTTTTTTCTTTTTTTTTTTAAAGTTAGAATTCGTAACTAAAAATTGTCCTTAATCTCTAAGTCTGTTAATATCATAATTATAGAATCAATCAAATCCAAGATCTTTGAAGAATATATATTTTTAAAGAACTAAATTGTTTAAATAACGTATAAATCTGATTAAAATTTACAAACCAATTATTTCGTAACGCATGATTTTTTTTAAATGATTAACACTAACACCTAATTTTAGTAAATAACAGTTTATGAATGAGTAGCAACAAAATTGTCAAAGAATTAAATTCTACTATAGTTGACTAAATAAGTAATGCAACTTTATTAAATCATGCATCCAATCTTTATCAAGAGCAAAGAAATCATGCATCCAATGGGGAGTAAGTATAGCCCCTTGATTTGAAAAAGTAGTAATTTTTGTTTCTTTAAAAAAGATATTTAAAAAATATCGTTAATCAAAATCTTAATACTAGAAAAAAAGCAAAATTAGGAAACAAAATTCGATTCCTTTGCTTACTATAATCCCGCTCTGAGTCTCGACGAACATAAAAAAAAACCTAAACCCGATAATGAAACAGAACCCGAAAAGAAAGAACACATTACGAAAGTAGTTTTCTCTTTTCTTATTTCTTTTAATAAATGCTCATTACAAGACAAAATCATATACTCAAATCTCCAAAAAAACATACATTTAACGCATATATTAAAAACAAAAAAAACCAAGTAGTACCCACTACTCTCACAAAAAAAAGCCTCTTCTTCTTCTCAATCTCCCTTCCCTCTCTCACAGAGAAAAAGAAAAGAAATTTAATCTGGCCATGGATCCGGGAGATCCTACTTCCATACTTTTCACAAAGATCAGAACTTTAGAACCCGATTTTGCCTCCAAAATCATTGGTTACTTGCTCTTACAGGACTTGGGCAAGAGAGATTTGATGCGTCTTGCTCTTGGACCAGAGACTCTCCTACAGTCCGTTTGTCTCAAGGCTAAATCCGCTTTGGGTCTCTCCTCCAATGGATCTTCCTCTGCATCAACGCCATTGAACCCTATCTCCAGACCCATCAACATCCACCGTCATTCCTTGTCTCAGTCTTCTCCGAGAACGTCAGGAAATGGGTTTATGGAGTTTTCGAGGAACCCTCTGTCTCCTTCCGTGAACACTCCTGGCTCACTCGGGACTAACCCTAACATGATTTCGAGCCCGTTTCAAGCAAGTTCGTCTCTTTTCGCTTCAGATGGTGGTGGTGAAGCCAGTGGAGGAAACGGCGATTTCCTCGATGAGCAGCAACTCGGCAGCTACTTGTCGTTCCTCAACGAGTCTTCTTCTTCGAAGAACAACGACGAATCTGCGGATCCGTTTGGGTTCTCGGCCGACAATGGCGACGCTCATTTGCACAAGAGGAGTTTCTCAGCCAGCGATGTCTGTTTCGGGTCAGAGGAGCCCGGTTATGGCGGCGGCGGTTACAATAGATTCGCACACGGTGGTTTAGGTGATGATTTCGACTCTCCTGGTGGTTTTGGTTCGCCGGATTACGTTTCCAGACAGCAAGAGGAGATAGCGAGGATGAAACTGGCTCAGCGGCAGAGGATGGCTGCTGCTCAGTTCTTGGCGGCTAGTGGCTCTCCAATGTCGTATGATAAAGGCATCAATTTCCTCTTGCATTCGCGTAATGCACATAGGTAATCATGAAATGGACCTCCTTTTTTGCCTAAGAAACATAATTTGGTTAGTAAAGACTTCGGATTTTTACGAAACAAAAAGTGTTGAGTCTAAGTCAAGCGGCTGTTGCTGTCAGTAAATGATGAGAAAGTTTGTATCTTTGTGCATTTAGATGCCAATTATTGCTTGTGTCACTGTGGTTGTTGAACTCTTCTTCGTATGACTTACTAATTTTGGTGTTCATTTACATGCCAATATTTGCTACTTCTTGGCTTAAATTCTTTGTTTCGTTTGGTGGTGTTTGTGTTTGCAGATCAGGAGGAGCTGGGCAATTTGGTGAAGAGGGTTACTGGTATGGTAGTCCAGGGAGACATGAGAGGGAGGAGTTTATGGGGATGGGAGATAAATCCAACTCTGCTTCTAAACAGATTTACTTGACATTTCCAGCTGATAGCTCCTTCACAGATGAAGATGTCTCCAATTACTTTGGGTATATTTCATAAATTTAGTTGGATCAAAGCTGTTATGCGTTTGCATCATCAAAACTTTGGTGGATATCTACTAATGCATGTGTGCTCTGTTATTATGATTAATCGTGTTTCTTGTTTTGTTGCAGCAACTTTGGACCAGTACAAGATGTTAGGATTCCATACCAGCAGAAACGGATGTTTGGGTTTGTTACTTTTGTCCACTCTGAAACTGTGAGAATCATATTGGCCAGAGGAAACCCTCATTTCATCTGCGACTCACGGGTGCTCGTTAAACCGTACAAGGAGAAAGGAAGGATTCTTGAAAAGTATGTTGAAACCACCACTCATGCCTTGTCTGGTTTTTCTCTCTTTCTCACATTCTTCTCTTTCGTCTTTTCCCTTTTCTTATGATAATTTTCATCAAAACAATAGCAGGAGGCAGCAGCAACAACTGCTGCAGCAGATAGAGAGAGGGAACTTTTCTCCTGGTTCAAGTCCATCTGGAATGGATGCTAGGGATCTCTTTGATTGCCACCTTGGTTAGTTGAACTTCTTTCCTCTGTTTGATTGGCCTTGTGGATATGATTTCACTAGAGCACAATCTCTTGTTACTTTGTTTTTGGTTATTTGTTCTTAGACCAGTCTTGTTTTGTTTGGTACCAGCACCGAGGATGTTTTCGAACACACAAGAGATGATGAGGAGAAAAGCTGAGCAAGCTGACTTGCAACAAGCAATAGAATTCCAAAGGAGAAGATTTCTCAATCTGCAGTTGCCTGACATAGATAGTGAGTCGTTTCACCATCACCAGCGTAGTCTTTCTATTGGCTCTCCTGTCCATTTTCCCTCTCGCGTCAATCAAAGCATGCTCTTTCGATCAGAAAACGCCGGTGAAGAAGTCATAGAAGGTTATTCTATCTCCCTCACGCTGGAACTTGGCTTTAAATAGCTTATATTCACCGTTTCCACTCTCCTGTGTTTTCTCTTAGCAGGTAATGGTGATTCAGGACATTTCCAGTCTGAAGCAAACCGAGCTTCTCTGAGTGATGCTGATCATAATAACAGCGAAGAACGTGGTTACAGTAACCATCTCAACACAGGGTATGATTAGTTCTCATTATTATAAGGGATTTAAGTCTTCTTTGTTTTCATGATTCAAAACTAGTTACATCCATTCTCATTTGTGCTTTTGTTGGTCATTGCTCAAGGCAAGAGACAAGTCTGGAGAACGCTCTGCCTGATGGCTTCTTCGCTTCCCCATCAAAGACCGGTGAAACCCAACAGCTCGAGTCTGAGAAAGAGAACTGTGCTGCTCTCTCTGTTACTGTGGAAAATAACGCAGCCTCAACACTTCAATCAGCCTAGCTATTGGTATGTGTATATTCTCCGTTAAGTCCATCACATTATCTCATAACAATCATTATCAACTCTCCAAATTCTCTTCCTGGAACTTTTCAGGGTCGATAGAGGCAAAAGGAAACAGGTGAATGTGGGAAGAGGTAGGTATTCTAAGTCATGCTGCAACTTAAAGCTCCTTTCAAATGTGATCAGTTTTCAACTGTCTGACATGGTTTTTTATACTTTTGGTTGCAGAAAGTAGAGACTGATAAAAAAGCAGGAAGTAGAAGAAATTTGTCTATATGTAGAAGCTAAAGCCGGTTTTATAACATGGAAACAGAAAGAAGGGTAGAGAGACCAGTTAGGATTTTACATATCTCGAAAAAGGCGGTTGTGGAATGCCAGTCTGCAATAGAATTACAACTAAGTACTAACCTCGACAGAGCATTGATAGGCAGAACAATACAGTGACTGAAACCTTTAAGTTCTTAAGTTTTTCGTCTGTTCATTGATATGATTGTTTACCTTTTTACTGGCTCACAAGCCCTGGTTCTAGACAAAGCTACTTCAGTTCAGTATAGATAAATATCTTTTTCTCGATCTTGTTCGTTTTTGAGACTGACCTTTCCTATCTCTGATATAACAACACTTTTCTAATTCGCTATGTCAAGAAGGAAATCAAATGAAATTAGTGTCCGATCAAATAATTTATTATTGTTTGTTAACAATTGTTCACTTCGAACTTAAGGTATCTTTGTTTCGTAAACAATCTGACATAAAATGCAACAACCAAAAACAAAACGAAAACAGAATTATGCTCTCTGCTTCATTGGCTTAAGGTTACATCAAAGATCAAAGTTGACGCAGAGATGAAAGTGCTTGGCTGGTGTTTCTTGAGATGCGGTCATGTATTGGTTCCTGTCGTCAATAAAGCAACGGGATCAATTCACGATAAAGTCTTAAATGAAACAAATCACAACACATGTGATTATGTGAAAAATTTTGAATGAAGAGAATCATACCTGTGTCGGAAGAATGTCAATTCTTGATCCAGTGATGGTTTCATACAAGAAAATGTACCTGCCATCATCAACACTTCTTCCATCAGTTCTTAAAACCAAAATTAAGAAAACATATAGCAGAGCAATCCTATAATACAATTTGCAGATCAAATTACATACCGCCAAGCTAATTCAGTTACTAGTTCGGCTGGAGCAGCAGGCAAGACCTGACGAAACAGAGGTTATTGAATAAAGTAGAAAAAAACAAAATTTACATAGTGAAGTTATTATCATACCTCATCCTCGTACGGATTGCAATTCTCTTTGAACCACAATCTTAGGAACTCCTGTTTGCATACAAAAAAAAGAGTGAAACATGTGGTCAACAAAATACTCCAAACCAGTGAAACCTGACACTGAGAGCAAAAACAAACGAAATCACAAACCTTATCAACATTTTCAGGCTCAAGGCCTTTTTGGAAGCGCTCTTCATATGAACCCGCAAGCCAGTATCTGCTGGAATCCGGAGTGTGAATCTACGCAAAATGTGTACAGGTGGGTGATGATTATAATCAGTGATTTTAGTAGTTGTGCAGACTGTGCATTCGAAGAGAGACAAAAAGAAAACAAACCTCATCAATCAATAAGATTGAGCCATCACTACTTCTTCCAAACTCGTATTTCGTGTCCACTAGGATCAGTCCATGCTCCTTGGCGACACGCTAAAGCAAGCACAATAAAAACAGAATCTATCAGTCATTTAAAAAAAGCACGAGATTTGACTATTGAAGGAGGCAAAATTTATAAGGAATCTGATTTCTTGTGGTCTGCAATCATGAAAGTCTCACAATCATTACACACTATGGCTTTAAACGGATGAGTTGTAACTAACCTGCCCAAACTCAAACAAGCTCAAAGCCTTCGTACTTGCTTCGTCAAATTCAGCTTGAGTCATGAATCCTCCTTCAACAATCTGCAACACAGAACTAAATAACTTCTTCTCGTCTTACAGCTAACCAGACCACAGAGGTAGAAACTCACGACTAAAATTTTATGGTTTCTACTTTTCTTATCTGTAACAGATTAATGTACCTCTTTTGGAGTGATGGGCACATCATGATCCTCAGCCTTAGTAGTTGGTGTAAGAATATTAGCAGAAAGTTTTTGGTTTTTCACTAGTCCTGCAAAATTTGGTAATCACTATATTAGTGATCTTCTGACATGCAATTCAAGAAGAATGTAACAAACTGAACTGTACCATCTGAGAGCACATTCCCACAATAGTTCCTAACACCTTTCTTGTATACCGTCCATAAAGACGTGTCAGTACTTCCAGTCACATATCCTCTAACTACACATAACAACATATGAAAAAAAAGAGAGTTTAGAACTTGAGCAAATCGAGGCTGCATAGAGAAGCATCTGAGAAGATAATATGCATTTCAACCAAAACATACTAACCCACAAACTCTATGGGAAAAACAGAACATTTCTTTGCAATAACAACATTTCTATCAGGAGATGAAACAATTGCATTTGGAGTTATGTGCTGTGTGTTATTGAACCACCACAAACTTGTCTCGTTAAGAACCTGGCAATTATAGACAGCACAAACATATTATTTGTAGTTTGATCTACAGACCTACGAAGAAAAATATATTTGTAAACACCTTAAGCTATCTAACTTCAGAGCATACCTGGCCTTTGAAGGGAATTGATGCAAGATTTCTGTCAAATGCACTCAACCTATCAGTAGTAATGAGAACTAGATAATCACCTGCATCATAGATATCCCTTACCTGCAAAATCGATTATGCTAGTGTAGTAAGTTCCTCAAATATCACTTGTTTGGTTTAAAACAGACTTTGGCATTTGTAGAAAATAATAGAACACAAAGTAAACAACTCTAACCTTGCCTTTGATCCTAGATTTCAGACCAGGAACAGTCTCTAAAAGATTGGTATCAGAGAGACAATTAGAAAGGGACTCTTTGATTGTGCCAAGAACCTCTCCTTTCCGGTTACTCGTGACTAGATCATCAAGAGACAATTGTTGCGGTGGCTTCTCTTGCTGGTTTTGGGCCTTCCCCTGGCAAGACATAACCAGTGAACACGGTTTTGGGTATTTCTTGAACTCCGGTAATGTTCTGAGAAAAGAGACAGACGCAAAAGCTGGGTTTTTTGCAGACACTGTCCTCGTAAAGCTCTGGGGTGTTCTCGAAGGATTTAGAGTTGACCTCAGACACTGAGCCATTCCAGAAACAAACCCAAACAACAACTGCACTAGAAGTAAACAAAAAACGTTAAATTGTTATACGAGACTGAAACCGAATTCAGTAGCAGCCACAACTATAATTCAAAAAGCAACCTGAGGTCCTAAGAAGTCAGTGTTTCAGTCCAAAATAGATTTCTAGAAGGGAAAGGAAAGCAGAGATATATGCAGGGAACGATTAACCACAACTAACACAAACCCATTAACTTGTGAGAATCGAATCTGTGAGAAAGGAAGAAAGCCAAAACCTTTTATCAAAGTAAGCTAATCCCTTCCGCTAAAAATCGAAGCCGGAGAAGAGAACGAAGGAGCGCGACGGATTCAGTTCTGATTAACTCAGAGACGAGCGAAGCCGGCGGCGAATATAAGCGAGAACACTGTATGTAATATTATCGGAATCGGAATTTGAATTTGCGTTTGCGTTTAAACCCTGTATGTAATTATTTGCTTATTTTAAAAAAGAACAATTTATCTGTCACGGTCTCATAAATCTGAATGTTTTTTTTTTCTCACACATCAAAACCCCAAATAAAATATTAAAACTCGGCTTTGCCCTCAGCGTTCTCTCTCGGAGATCAAGATCCGGCACCTCTGCATCCTCCTAACTCTGTGTGTTTCTCGCCTGAATACAAAGGTTTAACCTTTGTTTGAAGTTAGTGAAACCCAAAAGGGAGATATGCCAATTTAGAGACAGAACAGAGAGAAGCAGAGAGATATGGTGAGGCCAGCGGGGAAGCAGAATTGTGGTCGGGTTGTGTTGGTTTCATGCCTCGCGCTTTTAGCCGCCGGGCTTATCGCCGACTTCCTCTGGGCTTCTTCTCACCGCTTCTCCTCCGCCGGAATGTCTCTTCCTTCCTCCGTCACCACCGTGATCGGAAAACTCCCGCCTAAATCCAATGTAAATGTTCGATTTTGCTCTGTTGTTGATGTCTCTCATACAGTGAATTAGCTCAAATATCACTTCTTGCGTCTGAAAAATCTGCCGCTCTCTCTTTTTTCGGTGGCGTTTTAGGAAGAAGAAACTAAGAAGAAGAAGGATAATGCTCGTGAAAGGAAGCTTTCTGCGACGTTTCAAGATCTGGATGCTCCTCAACTACAATGGGAGAAGATGGCATCTGCTCCTGTGCCTCGTCTAGATGGAGCTGCAATTCAGATTAGAAACTTTCTCTATGTGTTTGCTGGATACGGCAACATTGATCTTGTAAGCATCTCTTATTTCTTGATTAGTAGCACTTGGTGGTTTTTGGACCGATGATGAGTTTTGTTGGATATTCCAGGTGCATTCGCATGTTGATATATACAATTTCGTAGATAATACATGGGGAGGGAGATTCGATATGCCTAAAGAGATGGCACATTCACATTTAGGGATGGTAACTGATGGGAGATACATCTACATCGTCACTGGTCAGTATGGTCCTCAATGTAGAGGACCTACGGCTAAAACATTTGTGCTCGACACTGATACAAATACGTGGAGTGACTTCATTTCTTTACTAGTTCCTAGGTAATTCTGAAACAAGTTGATGCAATTTGGATTATCTGGTAATAGGATTATATGCCATTCTTACAGTGGATGTTTTGGGTTTGAGAAATAGTGATTTAGAGCATTTGGATATCATCTTGCTGCTCAAGATTGGTCTTTTCTGCGATGTATAGATGTTTTAAGAGAAACTGAGTTTTATTTGCTTTCAGGTATGCTCCAGCTACTCAGCTATGGAGAGGTAGACTCCATGTGATGGGTGGAAGCAAAGAGAATCGACATACACCAGGACTTGAACACTGGAGTATTGCAGTAAAAGATGGGAAAGCATTGGAAAAAGAGTGGAGAAGTGAAATTCCAATCCCTCGTGGAGGACCTCACAGGTTGTTTTCACGATTCTATTGAAGGCTGTTGCTGGCTGCTAATCCTTGCAGCTTCCTCATACACACCATCCTCCATTTGATCTGAGTTTGAAATGTTCTTGTGACTGTAGAGCATGTGTAGTAGTGGATGACCGGCTTTTTGTCATTGGTGGTCAAGAAGGTGATTTCATGGCGAAACCAGGATCACCCATCTTCAAATGCTCACGCCGTATGGAGGTAGGTATCCAATGGACTTACCTGTTTAAGTGAATATCATGACACCTTGATTGGTTAAATTCCCTTGTGTTGCTATTTAATGATTGTTATGTTTGTTCTTTCCTTTACCTTAATGGTTCAAAGTGGTATTCAGTGATGTCTACATGCTGGATGAGGAAATGAAGTGGAAAGTTATGCCGTCGATGCCAAAACCCGATTCCCATATTGAATTTGCGTGGAAAGTGGTTAACAACTCCATTGTAATCGTTGGAGGCACCACAGAGAAGCATCCTGAAACCAAGAAGATGGTTCTCGTTGGCGAAGTCTTCCAGTTCAACCTGAATACAATGGTAAAAAACCGATGTAATGCATACTCTTTTAACCTGTTGATAAGTGTAAACACTAGGCTGAGATTGTTTTGTCTGCAGAAATGGTATGTGATTGGGAAGTTGCCATACCGTGTGAAGACAACGCTGGTTGGGTATTGGGACGGGCAGTTATACTTCACCTCAGGGCAACGAGACAAAGGTCCAGATGATCCTGCGCCGCGTAAGGTACTTGCAGAGATGTGGAGAACCAAACTGATACTGAATCCATGACCATGAGAAAGAGAAAGAGAGAGATAGAAACATTCAATCTCCCTTTTGGTAATGCAAAATCACACAACATTCTTTTGAAGTTCATATTCTTTCAGGTTAACCCATCCCACTACACAAACGTAACTATCTAAAACTGTTGATGGGCCATTTGTATATTGTAACGTTCTTGAAACACAAGTCATGTAGAAAAGTTCAAATTTCAACACATATCTTTGTGTGCTTTCATCTTACGGTTGTCTTGTGTTCTTCCTAAATCCGAGAACACTCTTTCTTTTGAAAAGTATGTAATTAAAAATCTGTTTAGCAAGTAAAAGTTCTATAAAAAAAAATTCAAGTTTGAACACATATCTTTCTTTGGTCATGATACTGAATCCATTTCATGTTTAGGGGTTGTCTTCTCTTCCTCCTTAATCCGAGTATAGTACTCTTTCTTCTCAAAAGTATGTCATCTGAAAAAACTGTTAAGCAAGTATCAGTTTCCGCAATTACAAACCTAAGAAATTGTCATGTAGAGTAAATTACGAAACGAAATTTTGTTTCTTTTTTTTTTATTTTTTCTCTCCAGTACCGTAGGCCGTACGCCTCAACGAAGAGCATCACAGGCCCACAAGTCCAAGGTAAAGCTGGATACACGTGCAGCACAGCACCGACTTAATTCTCTCTTTCTTCAGTTTAGGTTACGATGATAAATTCCGGTTTACAAAATCTCTATAACCGACACACGTCTTTTCGGGCACGGCCGGTCTCATTATTAAAAACCCTAATTTCTTTGAAAGCCAAGTTATCTGAAAACACTGTGCTTAAAGATGATGAAGAGGAGACTCTTGTTTAAGATGAAGAAGAAGAGGAGAAGAAGATCAGTGAAGACAGAGAAGGAAAAGAAGAGGAGATGCTCAGTAGATCTCCCAGAGGACTTGCTAGTGGAGATACTCTCTAGGGTTCCGGAGGCAGCTCTAGTACGACTGCGATCTACCTCAAAAGAATGGAATGATCTGATCAAAAAAGATAAGAGACTTGCAAAGAAGTCTCTTGTTATCATGTTGATTGATTTTAGGGTTTATTTAGTGAACGTTGATCTCCATGGAATTCAAGAAAGCATTGTAAAGGTAACAAGTCAATTTAGCCTCAAATATCCTCTTTCTAATTCTTAGAAAGAAGTCGATATAAACGAGGTCTTTCACTGCGATGGCTTATTGCTATGCACCACTAAGGACAATAGACTGGTGGTTTGGAATCCATGTTCAGGTGAAACAAGGTGGATGATCAAACCCAAAGATTCCTACACGAATTTTGATTTACATGCTCTTGGTAAATCGTCATGCAACAAGTACAAAATCTTGAGGGTGAATCATCAACATGGACATGGGTTTGAACAATGTCTAGTTGAGTACGAAATCTATGATTTTACCTCTAACTCGTGGAGGTGTGTTGTTAAGACTAGAGAGTGGTCCATTCCAAGGATAAATAGGCATGGGATATCTGTTAATGGAGATACTTACTGCTCTTCGTTTTAGTCAAGGCTTTCTAATGGATGATCTACTACGTTTTGATTTTTCAACAGAGAAATTGGAAAGTGTGTCTCTTCCCGTTAATCCTCTATCTGATTTTCCTATGGGTTTATCAGTGACTAGAGAAGAGCAAAAACTTTGTATGTTAACTCTTCTTTGCTGTTATGTACGCGATATAGATGTATGGATTGCAACTAAGATTGAGAGTAACGGATCCATGTCATGGATAAAGTTCCTAACAGTGAAAGGATTCCATTGCCGCCAGAATCTTACGTTTTGTAATGGGATGAATTTTCTTGGCCGACCGGGAGAACAAAGTGCTAGTGTGTCGCGGTCCAAATGTGGTCTCCAACAGGTTCTTACACATTGTGGGAGAGGATAAATGCATACAAGTGGATCATCGTCATGTTGCAGGATCTACATGCTCACTTCTCCTCAGCTATGTTCCAACTTTGGTTCAAATTCAACAAGCTTCTTTGGGGGTAGGCGCAAGGAAAGCATCAATCACGTGACTTGTAATTGTCACATGCACTAGGTAGCTTATGCATATTATCTATCCAAGTTTTGCTACTTTATTTAATTTATTATGGCGTGACTTCATATGCTTATGTGGAACAATTTTATTTGTCAAACGAGACTATATGATATTCTTTACCATATGAATATACTTCTGTCTCGTTTATGTGAGCACCAAGACCAGTGAGGACACGATGTTCGTGAATAAGCTAAAGTCTTGGAGGAATATAATGAGTGCACCTTATATTTTTATATTTGTAACTTTGTATTGTTTCAAGTTGAGCATTAAGCAGAAACAGATCGTTGGGAAAGTCATCTAATAAAAGTTTTTCAAAGGAGAAAATTCACTGGAAATGAAAACCCTTGAAAAGTTGGAAAATATAGAAGAGTCTAAAATAGAGGAGACAAGGACTAAAACCTACTCTGACTTAAAAGATCTGTTTGAGTTGAACTGTCTCCGTTCTTCAGAAACAGAGGATCCTGACGACAAGACAATGAATCTCTTTACGGAGAAAGGTTCAAGATACACGATGGTAAACATTTTTCGAGATATAAAAGTCAAAAGGAGTGTGGAAGAAGTGAAACAGAAGCCTTTTGTCAAGTGGAAACGATACAGCTAAAATTACAGGCCCACAAGCCCAAAATTTAGCTGTATATAGGACTAAGCCCACAATAGAAGCACGTAACGTCCCGCTAGGCATATTGGCGAAAACAGTAAGCACAAAGCAACCAACTCTTGAAACCCTAGTTTCTCTGAAAGCCCCAAGTCTGCTTTAAAGATAAAGAAAATGAGAAACACAAAACATATTCCAGATGACTTGGTGTGGTGGAGATACTGTCTAGGGTTCCGGCCGTATCTCTTGCACGATTACGATCGACATCGAAAGGATGGAACGCTCTGATCAAAGATGGGAGGTTTGCGAAGAACCACTCTGTTAATGGACCAAGTGAGTCTCTGGTTATCTTACTTTTGCTTTTAGGGTTTATCTATTGAGCGTTGATCTCCGTGGAATCCACGAAAACGTTGTTCCAACTGCAAAAGTAACAGGTCGATTCAGCCTCAACGACCCTTTTTCTGATTCTTCAGAAGAAGTAGATATACACGATATCTTTCACTGTGAGAGCTTATTGCTATGCACCGTTGTGAGAGCTTCCTGCTATACTTCTTTGAGCAATAGACTCGTTGTTTGAAACCCTTGTTCAGGTGAAACCAAGTGGATCCAACCTAGAAATTCGTACTCTATTTACAATTTCTATGCTCTCGGTTACGATAACAAATCCTCTTGTTACAAAATCTTGAGGATGGATAAAAAAATGTCATATGGTAAGAAAATTCAAACCGAGTACGAAATCTATGACTTGTCCTCTAACTCGTGGCGGGTTGGTGGTGTGACTACGGACTGGGTATTATCACAAGATCGGAGTCGTGGCATATATATGAAGGGAATGACTTACTAGTTTGCACTTACTCAAAACAGGGAAGGTGCTATCTTACTAAGTTTTGATTATTCAGAAGACAGATTCCAAAGCCTGTCTCTTCCGAGTGGTGATCCTCGTCTTTATGCTCATGTGGCTTTATCAGTGACTAGAGATCCGCAACAACTTTGTATGTTATCTAGATGTGGGGCTTCCGCATACGAAACACATTTCTGGATGGCAACTAGGATTGAGAGTACCGGAGCCATGTCGTGGACCAATTTCCTAACGCTGTCGGGAACCGATCTTGTCTATCAATATCGGTTTACTTATGGGATTAGTTTTTTGTTTGACCAGGAGAACAAAGTTGTATTGTCTAGTAATAGACCTATGGTGTCCGAGAAAATCATACACATAGTGGGAGAGGATAAATACATAGAAGTGGATCATCATGGTGCACAACCTACACAGAGAGCTCCTATCCCACGTCTCCTCAGTTATGTTCCAAGATTTGTTAAAATCCAACAAGATATCTAGTTCTTAGAGGTGGTCAAAGACTCAAAAAGGTTAAGTACAAGAAAGCTAGTGGTTTTATTGCATTGTTTATTTAAATGCCGAAGTAATGTCTTAATCATCCCATTCTTCTGGTTTCTTTTATGATTGTGAACACTATAAGACCCAGAACCATTATTGAATTTGCTTGGTTCAAATTCAACAAGGTTCTTTCTCATTCACGTGTCTTGTAATTGTCACATTAGCTAGTTTATGCATATTATTTATCCAAGATTTGCTACTTTTTATAGTTTATTATTCACGTGACTTCCTATGCTTATGTGGAACAATGTTGGTTATGTGACTTATGTCGAACGAGACTACATTATATTATTGACCATATGATGACGAATTGATGATACGAATATACTTCTGGTTTCGTTTATGTGAACACCAAGACCAATGAGGACACAATGTTTGTAAATGAGCTAAAGTCTTTGAGGAATGAGAGTGTCATCTTAGCTTCTTTTTTCTTTTTCAAGTTGAGCTTTGTCATTTGTTTGATATGGTTGTAGCGTTGTCTTGCGTATTGCGTGAGACATATAGGTTACTTAGACTAGAATATGATACTCTTAGAGTAGATTACTTCCCAATATTGAAGATGAAAGTTGTTAACAGAAGAAGTCCTATAGCAAGTCCAAGCTTCAACACATTTTTTTCCTTGGTCATCAATGAGTCCATTTCATGTTTTGGGGATAATATGATTTCCTAATTCTTTTACGTCTTTAATTAAGTTTATGAAAAAAAAACCAGATACTTTACAAAGAAACAAATATTTAATGAGGCCAGCATTATTAAAAACATAGATCAATATTTCAGTACAATTCGATACCAACACCATTGTTGTATAGACTTCTAGTTCCCTATAGGCCAAGAAATAAGATTCACCATGAAAAGCTCTCCCTCAAACCAGAGCCGGTCTTGAGTCAATATAAATAAATATAAAACGAGCAGGACCTAAATCATCTTTGTTCTAAACCTTATTATTTTTTTAAAAAAATATTAAAATTTGGTTAGAAGTTTTAACCAGGCATATATGGTTAAAAACCATAGATTCTGTACAACAAGACAAGACCATTATCATTGTAGGTTTTTCGACTGGAGCCGCCTTTAATTAAAAAAATTGTCTAGGTCCCTAGCTATAAGGCAAGAATAGGTTTCACCATGAAAAGCTCACCATCAAACGTAAGACTTGATGCCACTGTACGATGATGAAGACCGTCAATCACTCAACACCAAATGCATATATATAGGGCTTCATTTACAACTTGAAAACATGACTTGCGTGCTTGAGAAGAAACGACTTCCTGCGACTCCTTCCCCGGAGAAACTAAGTAGATTAAGCAAAAACAGATCGTTTGGAAATTCATCTAATAATCTCTTACCGGAAACCTCAGAGAGGTTTGGGTGGATGCAGCTCCATCATTGCTTATACCACAAGAAACCTTGGGCAAAGGAGGTAAACAATGTGGGACGAACGTTTGTGTTTTTGGCGTATATTTTCTTACAAATACAAACTCTTTTCTTCTTAAAATGCCGTTTTTGGTTGCATTTTGTTGCAGGAGAAGGCTGAGAAGCTCATACGTGCTTATGCAGAAACTTCAGGCTTTATGCTTCCGTATTCCCAAGGCCATTCATGAATCCAAAAAGACCTGGGCTTGAGACGGAGGATTCGAGCTTCTTCACAGGCCCATAAGCCCAAAAAGTGTGGAACGAAGCCCACAATATATAGAAGCATGTTACGTCACGAGACGCAACGAAACGATACTCTCTCTGCAACTCTCTCTCTATAAAACGTTTTGGTGTGAGAAAAAGCTTTAGGTCTCAAAACTCCTCATCCCCATCTCTTGCAAACCTACTTTATTTGAAGTCCCAAGTCTGCTTCAAATGCAATATGATGAAGAAGACAAGCATCAAACATCTTCCCGAGGATTTGATGGTGGAGATACTCTCTAGGGTTCCGGCGGTATATCTCGGGCGATCACGATCGACGTCCAAAGGATGGAACGCTCTGATCAAAGATGGGAAATTTGTTAAGAAGCACTCTGCTAATGCGCCAAGGCAGTCTGTGGTTATCATGTTGATTGGTTTTAGGGTTTATTTAGCTAGGTTTTATATCCATGGACTTGAAGAGAACGTTATAAAGGTAACAAGTCAATTTAGCCTCAAAGATCCTATTTCTAATCCTTCCAAAGAAGTCTATATAGTCGATATTTTTCACTGCGACGGCTTATTGCTTTGCACTACCAAGGATAATAGACTGGTGGTTTGGAATCCATGTTCAGGTGAAACAAGGTGGATGATCAAACCCAAAAATTCCTACTCGAATTTCGGTTACTATTCTCTCGGTAAATCGTCATGCAACAAGTACAAAATCTTGAGGGTGGATCAACATGGGAATGGTTATATATCCCCATGCCTAGTTGAGTACGAAATCTATGATTTTACCTCTAACTCGTGGAGGTCTGTTGGTAAGACTAGAGACTGGTCCATTCCAAGGATTAAGATGCGTGGCGTATCTGTGAATGGGGATACTTACTGGCTTGCTCATAGTTTTAGTGGAGACTCGCCAATGAAGAAGGACATGTTACTATGTTTTGATTTCTCAACAGAGAGATTCGAAAGAGAATCTCTTCCGGTTGATCATTTTTCTTATCATCCAATGGCTTTACCTATGACTAGAGAAGAGCAAAAACTTTGTCTGTTAGCGCTCCGTGACTGTAACTTACCCGTACCCCATATAGATTTATGGATTGCAACTAAGATTGAGAGTACCGGAGTCATGTCATGGAGAAAGTTCCTAACAGTGGAACGAGCTGATCCCTGGGAGTTTCTAACGTTTAATATTGGGATGAGTTATTTGGCCGACCAAGAGTATAAAGTTTTGGTGTGTCCCGGTAAACATGGGAACTCTAACAGGTTCCTACACATTGTGGGAGATGATAAATACGTACAAGTGGATCATCATGATGCAGGATCTAAATGTTCACTTCTCCTCAGCTATGTTCCAACTTTGGTTCATATTCAATAAGGTTCTTTTTGGGGGTATGCGCAAGGAAAGCCTCAATCATGTGACCTTGAATTGTCACACTAGCTAGTTTATGCGTATTATCTATCCAAGTTTTGTTACTGTATATAGTTTATTATTCACGTGACTTGCTAGGCTTATGTAGAATAATGTTGGTTTTGTCAAACGAGACTACATTATATTATTGACCATATGAATATACTTAGCTTCTTTTTTTTCTTTTTCAATTTGAGCTTTGTCATTTGTTTGATACGGTTATAGCGTTAAGCTGTGTTGCGTAGTGAGTGAGACATATAGGTTATCTAGACTAAGATATGATATTATTAGAGTAGATTATTGGATTCCCAAGAGTGAAGATGATAGTTGGGTCATTTTGTATATTAATTGTTAACAACAGAAGTCCTATAGCAAGTCCAAGCTTCAACACATCTTTAATTTTCCTTGTTCATCACTGAGTACATTTCGTCTTTGGGGGATATATGGTTATTAGTTTCTTAATTCTTATACGTCTTTAATTCTCCTACCACCACCATTGTTGTATAGAAATCTAGTTCCCTAGAGGCCAAGAAACAAGATTCACCATGAAAAGCTCTCCCTCAAACCCGACCCGGTTTTGAGCCGGGCAATATAAATAAAATAAAAAACTGAACAGGGCCTAAATCATCTTGCTCTAAAGTTCTAAACCTTAATTTTTTTTATTATTAAAATTGATTCTTTTTTTTTTAATACACTAGTTTTCTCATCCATAGTTTTCAGAACTGGCTTTGCCTCAAACGTAAGGTCATTTGCAGAGATGTGGAGAACTAAACCTGATTTTGTATCCATGAGAGAGCCAGCTAATCAATCTCCCTTTGGTAATGGAAAAATCAGAACACTCTTTTTAAGTCCATATTATTTCAGCCTAAGTAACCCATCCCACTACACAAACGATTGTTGTATATCTATCTTCTGTGTTGATGAGGCATTTGTATATTGTAGCGATTCTTGAAACACAAGTTATTTTAGAAAAGTTCAAATTTCAACACATATCTTTGTGTGCTTTCATCTTACAGACAGTTACAGTTATCTTCTGTTTTTCCCAAATCCGAGAGCACTCTTCTTTTAAAAAGGAAAAATCTGTTTAACAAATAAAATTTCTATAGAAAGTTCACGAAACGAAATTATTTTTTTATATATATATTAAAGACCAATTAGGAAACGAAAATTTGTTTTTTAATGTCCAACGTAGAGCTGGATAGACGTGCAACACAGAGCAACCGATTTAATTCAATTATAAATTTCCGGTTAACAAAATCTCGATAACCGACACACGCCATTTCGGCACGTACTTTCTAATTATTATAAACCCTAATTTCTTTGAAAGCCAAGTTGTCTGAAAACACTCTGCTTGAAGATGATGAAGAGGAGACTTTTTTTTAAGATGAAGAAGAAGAGGGGCCCCTCAAGAAAACAGCAGGTATTCCTAAACCCCTCGGATATATTTGTGTAACAGTCACCCAAGAATCTTGTCTTTGTCTAACACGAGGATAAGGAATATAGCATACTTGGTCCGCTTGCGATGCTAGAATGAAAGGATCGTATTTGTTAAGTTGTCTTGACGAATTCACTTCAGTTACACCAAATTTGGTTAAGCGAACACCTCTTCCGACAGATGGATCATACCAATCGCACATGAATATTATGCATTTTAAATTAATAATTCCAGGGTACTCAATTTCCAAAATTTTCTTCAACACACCATAATAAACAATGTCACCGGCTTGGGTAAATATCCCAGAGTTCACTGTTTTCAAACTATGTCCTGAGCAGAATTTCTTAAAGACATATCCACGGGTGCAGTACATCGGGAAACTCATTGCAAGCGTTAAAGGACCACCTACCAACTCTTCCAACCAAGTGTCTAATCTTTCACCTCTCATATGACATGTTTGCACCTGATTTATAATAATTAATTAGTTTAAGATTATTAGCTACATAACAATGGTAAAATTTTGTTAACTCACATAAAATCTCATCAATTGTGCAAATTCCAGTTGTTTTCGTCTACCAATTTCAATATCATCATAAAAAGGATAGTGGGTCTTTAGTTGCTCCACATACATACTGCAAATTATAAAATTAATTATATCTAATCATGAGAGATAAATAATGCCATATATCAAACATATCAAATAGTTTTACCTCTCATATGGCAATAACTCAGGACAGTTAAAAAGAATATAAGTATGCAAGTGATTTTGTTCTTCCTCAGTAAGCCACCGTTTCTTAACTTTTCTACTTAATCGACCGACTTGTGAGAATATATCAGGTACATGTGTTAAATATTTAGGTTTCTCTCCTCCATCATCATTGCGACTGGGTTTCCTGCTTTTAGTTGGTACACTTGGTGCAAAGTAGTACATGGAAAAATTAGAGGTTTCTTCGTTAATGGTCTGCGCAACAATAAATCCTTCCACTTTGCTTAAATTTTTAACTTTTTTCTTTAGATGTAACATGAATCGCTCAAATGGATACATCCATCTGTACTGTACAGGGCCACCAAGTGCTGCTTCTCGAGGGAGATGAATTGGAAGGTGCTCCATGACATCAAAGAAAGATGGCGGAAAAATCTTTTCAAGATTGCAAATAAGAACGGATATATTGTCAGACAAATATTGAATCCCGTCAGCTGTAAGTGATCTTGTGCATAGATCTCTAAAGAATGCACTTATTCCTGCGTTATATACGAGAACCAATAAACTAGTATACAAGAATATATAAACATAAATTACTTATTGAAAATTATTAGATAATGATTGAATACCTGCAACAGCTTCATGCACAGGTTTTGGTAACATTTCACGAAATGCAAATGGTAGCAACCGTTGCATAAAAACATGACAGTCATGACTCTTCATCCTACATAATCTACCTTCATCACTGTCAACACAGTTGTGTAGGTTGGAAGCATAACCGTCCGGAAACTTAACATTATGAACAATCCAGTAGAAAAATGCATCTTTCGATTCTTCATCTAATCTGAAAATAGGAATTGGAGCCTTTCCATTTGCCAAGATATGTAGAGCATCGCGGGCACATAAATGTGGTAAGTCTAATCTGGACTTCAAATTATCTTTTGTTTTCCCCGAAACATTGAAAATGGTATTCATGATGTTGTCGAAGAAATTCTTCTCAATGTGCATGACATCAAGATTATGTCTCAACAAATGATCCTTCCAATATGGTAAATCCCAGAAAATACTCTTCTTGTGCCAATTATGATACTCTCCACAACCGGCCACAGGGAAATGCCCATTTCCACCACTTTTGTTGTTACAGCATCAAAATCACGTAGTTGCATTAATAGATTGTTACCATCTATCTCAGGCGGAGGAGCTTCATGAACAACTCTGTTCTTCATAAACAACCTTTTGTTGCGTCGATATGGATGTGAGCTTGGCAGGAAGCGTCTGTGACAATCAAACCAACACGTCTTCCGTCCATTTTTCAACTGAAATGCATCTGTATTGTCCTGGCAATACGGACATGATAATCTTCCATGCGTTGTCCATCCAGATAACATTCCATAAGCAGGGAAATCACCAATAGTCCACATTAGCACCACACACATTATAAAATTTTGCTGGCTTGATATATCAAAGGCTTGAACTCCATGCTCCCATAAATATTGTAACTCATGAATCAAAGGCTGTAAGAACACATCAAGGGAACGCTTAGGATGTTCGGGACCAGGAACTAGTACGGTTAGAAAAAGAAACTCTCGTTTCATGCACAAAGATGGAGGCAAATTGTAAGGAGTGACAATGACGGGCCACAATGAATATTGCCTCCCATGCTTTCCAAATGGGTTGAAACCATCTGTGCATAGCCCAAGATATACATTCCTGCTCTCAGATGCAAAAGACGGATAAACTGTTTGAAAATGTTGCCATGCCTCTGCGTCGGAGGGATGTGATATTTCCCCTTCTTTTGAATGTTCGTGATGCCATCTCATAGACCTTGCAGTGCGCTTCGATTGATACAACCGTTTTAACCTATCGGTTAATGGCAGATACCACATACGCTTAAACGGTACTCTAACCCTTCCACCAGTATTCTGATAACGAGGTTTCCCACAAAATCGATAAGCCAAGTAGTTTGCGTCTGAATTCCAATAAATCATACAATTATCGATGCAAACGTCGATCATCTGATACGGTAAACCAAGACCAGAAACAAGGTTTTCAATTGCATAATACGAAGCCGGTGCTAGATTGTCTTCTGGCAAAATATCTTTCACAAAATCAGCAATGACATCTACACAATCCTCAGACAAATTGTATTCCGTCTTGATATTCATCATCCTTGTTGCAGCAGATAGAGGAGAATGACCTTCCTTACAACCTTGATATAATGGATTCTTCGCTGCATCTAGCATATCAAAGAATCGTTTTGCTTCTAAATTTGGTTCCTCTACTCTATTTTCATCTTCCTGAAAGGACTGCTGATTTTCCATAAACGCATCATGTACCATCTGAATTGTACCTACATTCTCTACTGTCATCAAAGGTTCCTCTAACCTCTCAGTTTCACTAGCTACTATACTAGTACTACCCTCAACCACAATATCATTTTCCCCGTGGTAATACCACATCTCATAATTTGGTGTAAACCCTCGACTATATAAGTGATTCCATACTTTTTCTACGGTAGTGAATCTCTTATTATCACAACGGGGACAAGGACAAACGATCTTACCACTTCTTTTCAAAGTGTTTCGGTTAGTTGCAAAATGCATAAATTCAATGAGTCCTACCGCAAACTCATTTGTGACTTTTCTGGTATTCGAATCCCACCTATCATTGTTTAGTAAAACAAAGATGTGACGCTCTTATCAAAGATGTGAATTTTACTAAGAAACACTCTGCTAATGCATCAAGGCAGTCTCTTGTTATCATGTTGATTGATTTTAGGGTTTATTTAGTGAGCATTGATCTCCATGGAAGTCAAGAAAGCATTGTAAAGGTAACAAGTCAATTCAGCCTCAAAGATCCTCTTTCTAATTCTTTGAAAGAAGTCGATATACGAGACGTCTTTCACTGCGACGGCTTATTGCTATGCACCACCAAAGACAATAGACTGGTGGTTTGGAATCCATGTTCAGGTGAAACAGGGTGGATTATCAAACCCAAAAGTTCCCGCAAGAGATTCGTTTGCTACTCTCTCGGGAAATCCTCATGCAACAAGTACAAAATCTTGAAAGTGGATCAAGATAGATATGGTTTTCTGCGCCAATGCCTAGTTGTGTACGAAGTCTATGACTTTACCTCTAGTTTGTGGAGGAGGGTTGGTGAGACTAGAAACTGGTGCATTTACGGGTTTAAGAACCGTGGGATATCTGTGAATGGAGATACTTACTGGCTTGCTTATCGTTTTAGTCAAGACTTGCCAAAGGAATTCTTACTACGTTTTGATTATTCAACTGAGAGATTCGAAAGTGTGTCTCTTCCAGTTGATCATCTTTCTCATCATCCTATGGCTTTATCTGTGACTAGAGAAGAGCAAAAACTTTGTCTGATATCGCTGCGTGAATGTAACATATGCGTGTTCGGTATAGATGTATGGATGGCAACTAAGATTGAGAGTGACGGAGCCATGTCATGGAGAAAGTTACTAGCAGTGGACGGATCCGTATACAGAAAGTTTTTAGTCTTTTGTAATGGGATGAATTTCTTGGCCGACCGGGAGAACAAAGTGTTAGTGTTTCCCGGTAAAAATGGGGTCTCCGGCAGGTTCTTACACATTGTGAGAGAGGATAAATGCATACAAGTGGATCACAATGATGATGCAAAATCTAGATGCTCAGTTCTCATCAATTATGTTCCAACTTTGGTTCAACTACAACAAGGTTAAGGATGTCCCTTTCGGAGGCATCAAGAGTGAATACAACAGATTTAGAGACCAAAAAAATTCAACAAGGTTCTTTGGGCTAGGGAAATAAAAACACCAATCACGTGACTTGTAATTGTCACACTAGTTTTTGCATTATCTATCCAAGTTTTGCTACTTTATAATATGTTTCCAAGCGATACTAATTTTTTTTTCCTTACCCTTATGCGGTTATATATGTGAGATAACTTATCTCTTATTAAAGGATCATTAATTCTTTACAACAATCCAGTTGAAGTATTTCAGTTTTAAACTCGCTATAATACATATTGCTACAGTCACGAAATGTCCTCCCAGCAAGTTTTCCAAAATGTATTTGTCAATACACAGAAGTCAAAAGATGTAGATGTTGAATATTGTGTTTGAGTGTGGTATAAAATCCAACATAGACAAGAGGATCAAATAGAGTTTTTGAAAACAGGAGTTACGTGCTTGAAAAGAAATTAAACAACTTTCTGCGACTCCTTCCCCGAAGAAAATAGAAATGAAACCCTTGAAAAATAGGAGCTTGTTCTTGGCCTAATACATCTTAAGCAGAAAACAGATCGTTGGAAAGGTCTCCTAATAAAAAATTCCTCAAAGGATAAGAGATAACTGGAATTGAAAGCCTTGAAAAATTGGAAGATATAGAAGAGTCTAAAACAGAGGAGATAAAGTCAAAACTGAGTTGAACTATCTCCGTTCTTCCAAACAGAGGATCAGATTCAATCCAAATCTCCAGATCTTGATCAAGACAAAGACGACTATAAATCTCTTTAGGGAGCAAGGTTCAAGATTGAGATACACAATGGTAAACATTTTTCGAGATATAAAAGTCAAAAGGAATGGGGAACAGTGAAACGGAGGCCTATTGTCCAGTGGAAACCAAACAGCTAATTTCAGTCCCACAAGCCCTAAATTGAGCTGGATAAAGTCTCGAGAGAGGCGGTAACTAGAGTCTTGTTTTGTAAGAATAAGTGACTAAAGTGATTGTGTAAAGTGTAAACAACTCGAGAGAAAAAGTCATTTATTTTAAACGTAAACATATTCTTATTATCAGGTGGTCGATAAACAAAGTGGTTGATATTAAAGCAATCATGAAGCTGTAATCATGGAGCTGCAAGCTCTCCTTAGTTAAATAAACCTAACTAGGGGAGTACTTGGTTGAAGAAATGACCTCCATTACAGCTTGAACCATCAAGACATCATTCACGAGGAAACCTTTTGATGAATCTTTGAGATCAGAGAGTGAGATAAACTCATGAAGACCACAAGCAGCTCCTGGAGTAAAGTACCAATAATTGACTGTAAAAGAAAAAAAAAGATCACTACAAAGCACTCAGGTCATAGCGAATGTGTCCATGGCGATGAATATACACATCATCTGCTTATATCATTTTTATATCATCTGATACTACGTCAAGAACCCTAGTTTGGTGTAAAGGTTTTCTTGTTCATCAAGATGATAAGGTTTTTGCCTTATATATATACACAATCGTCCATGACCTAATTACAAAAGATGTAAATTGCAAACTATACATAGGTAATTAATTAACTACATATTTGGGCCACATGTCTCTCAATAGCTTACCTTGCGTCTCTTTGTTATCGAACTGACGTTGGTTAAGAACTCGTAGCTTGGCTCGAACATAAATCTTCTCATTGGGTCTGAGTTTCTCGTTCATATTAAGGCTAAGATACATAGACAAGTCTTTTCCCTCTCCCGTGTGATAACCACTTGGATACACTTTTATATTCCTTGATCAGCATACGGAATACTTGTTAGTTGTTACTACACACTATATACTCTGAACAAAGCAACAAAAAAAAAGCTTTTATTTTGAAATAATATGGACTTACCAACTTCTTCCTCCGATGGAGAAGACATCTGAGTAGTAATACTCTTTGAACAGCATTGAAAATCCGCGAATGGTCCAGGTGAATCTCGGGTTATCTAATTTCTCAGTGATAGAGAAAAGTTCTGACATTTTAAAAGGAGAAGGGATGGTCACATCGACACCAAACTCGCAGTGATCTCCATCGTAGAGGTATCCGTTTTTCGTGTCTTTGAAGGTATCAACAGGGAGGACCTTAGAGAATCCCCACATCGTTTTGAAGACATCGAATCTCCATACATCAGTATCTGCAATAACACGACAAAGACTGAGAGATATTACTATAAATAGAACATCTTTATTGTTTAAAGATCACATTTTTGGGGGGATTGAAAATGAACAAGATACCTTGAATGGTGAGGTATTGTCTCTCGTTCTTGTTGAAGATGTAAAATCTGAGATCCGTGTAAACCTCTTGGTGTGCATCGACGAGAGTCGATTTGTCTATAGTTACGTAAAGCGAAAGGTACCCTGAACCCTTATCCTTCTTGTTCCCATTGGGGTACACGACAAGAGTCCTGTATTATATGATATCCATATAATGATTTTTACTTTTTAGTATATAAGATAAAATTCAACAAAAACTAAAAGAAGGGATCCGTTTGATCAGGAGAATAAAGATCAGATAACCAGCTTACCAGTTGTATTCACCAACTGGAAAAGGACGAGATTCGTATCTCTCTGCGTTAAGGAGTGTGTTGAAAGACTCTATCTTTAAAGAGTAAGTAGATGGACGACTATGTCTTAGACCCGTTACAGCGCTTGAAGCTGAGACTTTATAGTCACGTGATGAGATCTCTTGAGGTCTATGTAAGTAATGTGCTTCTTCAATAATTGTGTTTGGTTCTGCTCCTTCCTCTTCTGTTTTGAGACCCAAAAAATGAAACAGAGCATCACAGTGTTTAGATACACTAGTACACAAGAAATATGGGTCATTCTAGTCATTGGTAATTTGGTTTTGAGTTTAAGGCCCATAATAAGCTCATTTTTAACATAAATATTCATTAATTCAAGAAAAAACAAAGATCACGACATACGCTGCAGATTTGTATTGAAGTCATCACTGAATTGTCGTATGAGGGAAGGTGGAGATGAAGATGTGATGGAGATACAAAACAACAAGTGATAAACAATAGAGATGGTGTTTCTGTAGTGATTAGTCATTTTTAAGAGTTGGTCGTGAAGGTGAACTGGTCGAGAACAGAGAGACCAGTGAGTCTTATATAGTAGTATAGAGGAGATAAATGCTATGGAGTGCATAGAGAGAGGTCCACGATATTATTCAAGATAAGGTTGGTACTTTTTTTTTTCGCCCCGTGTTTGCAATGGCAAATTAAAAGTTGAAATTTCTTCTTTTTTTTTTTTTTAAGAGAGTTGCATTTTTGTTTATTTGTTAAAAGGTTTTGCTATGTTAATTTAGATAAACGGCTTGCAAAAAAAATCAAACGGAAACAAACAAAGATCATTATTTCCTCTATTTCTTTTTGTAAGCTGAAAATCCCTTAAAGCCCAAACAATATTCCTCTACACAGTTTTAACATTCGAGCTTATAGTATTAATTAGCACTTCCTAGTATTTTTAATAAATTACTCTTTAACAAAAGAAAATGCTTTAGTATTATTAACTGAAAACTAAATTAAAACCCAAAATAAGTTATGCACCGATATCTATTAAACTATTAATATTACTAGGTGAATACTTGCATATTACGTGTGGATTTTTTCTTTTCAACTATTTCAAATTTAAATTTTCATAAAAATAAATATAATCATCATTTATTAATATCTTATTATAAAAAATCGTAAAAATCAGTTTAAAATATATATTGAATATTATGAAGTAATCTAGAGTTCTATAAAAATAAAATAAATATTCATCAATAATTTTAATTAATTATAACATAAATTTTTATTTAACATTTACATATATATTATTGAAGAGTCAATTAATAATAAAAAATAATATTTAAATAGTTAAAAACTTACACTACAACAATTAAGGTGTGTTGTGTCATTTATTATATTTGTTTATATCATTTGAACTTTGCATCATTTATAAAACTAACTCTAGAAGTGGTGACTTTAATATTTTGCAGCATTTTTACCGATTGATGTAAATACTTTAATCATTTATAGTAATTGATGCGAATATGTATCACTTGTAAAAAGATGTTAACATTTGCCTCAATTAAAATAAATGATATTATAATTTATTTCGTTTATAATAAATAATTTTAATTGATATAATAATTATATCAGTTACAAATAAGTGATACCAACTAAGTGTCAGTTATTATAAGTGTTAGTAAAACTTGTATGATTTATTAAAAACTGATGTTAATATTAGTATCATCATGTAACTGATAATAATTCAACTTGTTATTATAAATGATTATTAATGTAACATTAATTAATATTAAAATTTATATATAAGTGGACAGATGTCAATTTCTCCTATGTTGACGTGGCGATTAGCTGGAGAAAGTTGGTCAAGTTTTATATAAGTTTTATATATATATAAGATGAAGCAACCGATTTAGGTCTTAAAACTCCTCATCTTTAGAGCATGTGCATCTTTATATACTCTAATGGGTACCTTATCCTATATTTAAATAAGAGGGTTTAGAGATCCAAATTAAAAACCTTCTTATTTTGCATGTGCATTGCCATATACTTTGGGAAGAGAAATGACAGATTCACCGAATATCCTAGATTTTTTCTCCTTTCTCCAATATCCAATGACATCATAACACCTAAAGCCTGAAACCGTCTCTAATTTGTTTAATAATAAAATACTCAATGAAGACCATCATGGTTTTCACGGATACGATGGTAAAGCATTTTTGGAGATATGAAAGACAAAAGGAGTGGGGAGAAGTGAAACGGAGGCCTTTTGTCCAGTGATAATAATACAGCTAAATTATAGGCCCCACAAGCCCAAGACGAAGCCCACAATAGAAGCATGTGAGATGTTGTGACGTCGCGAGAGGTCCCCTTAAACCTCCTCAAGTCCTCATCTCCGACTCTTGAAACCCTCTCTTGAAACCCTAATTTCTCTGAAATCTCAAGTCTTTGCTTTAGAAATGAAGAAAAACATTCCTGAGGAGTTGGTGGTGGAGATACTGTCTAGTGTTCCGGCGGCATCTCTGGCGCGATTCCGATTGACATCCAAAAGATGGAACGCTCTGATCAAAGATGCGAGATTTCTGGAGAAGCACTCTGCTAAAGGACCGAGTCAGCCTCTGGAAATTTTGCTTATTGATGGTAGGGTTTACTCACTGAGCGTTGATCTCCGTGGAATCCAAGAAAACAACGTTGCTCCAATTGCAAAGGTAACAGGTCGATTCAGCCTAAAAAACCCTGTTTCTAGCTCTTTGGAAGAAGTCTATATACGCGATGTGTTTCACTGTGATGGCTTTTTCCTTTGCTCCACCGAGGACAATAGACTCGTTGTTTGCAACCCTTGTTCGGGTGAAACCAAATGGATCAAACCCAAGACTTCCTTCAAGCCTTCCGATTTCTACGCTCTGGGTTACGATAGCGAAGACTCTCGTTACAGAGTCTTGAGGTTGGATCAGTCTTTTGGGTATAATAGGATGGGATTCTTCAAAACCGAGTACGAAAGCTATGACCTTTCATCTAACTCGTGGAATGGTCATGGTATGAGCTGGGGTTACCCACCGTGTCAGGGTCGTGGCGTATCTGTGAAGGGAGTTGCTTACTGGTTTGCACATTCTATAAACAGGGAAAGTGCTGGCTTGTTTTGTTACGATTTCTCAACCGGCTCTTTCCGGAATGTGTCTCTTCCGAGTGATGATCCTCGTCTTTACGCTCATGTTGCTTTATCGGTGACTAGAGATGAGCAACAGCTTTGTTTCTTAGCTAGAAGTGGTGATGATGCATTGGAAACCGATTTGTGGATAGCAACAAGGGTTGAGAGCAGCAAGTCCTTGTCGTGGACCAAACACCTTACCTTGTCGGGAACTGATCTCCGTTATCAGCAACGGTTCACTAATGGGATGACTTTCTTGTTTGACCAGAAGAACAAGGTTGTTCTGTCTGCTAATAAACCTAGGGTCTCTGAGAGAATTTTACATATTGTGGGAGAGGAGAAGTACATTGAAGTGGATCATCAAGGTGCAAAACCTACACAGAGAGCTCCTACCCCACTTCTCCTCTGCTATGTTCCAAGCTTTGCTCCAATCCAGTCTAGTTCGTAGAGGAGGTCAAAAGGTTAGTTCAAGAAAACTACTGATTTTACGCATTGTGTATTTAGAAATGCCGAAATATTGTCTTAATCATCATCACATTCTTCTGGTTTCTTTTATGACTGTGCACACTATCAGACCCGATCCCAGTATTGAATTTGAATTTGCTTGGAGAGTGGTTAACAAACTCAATTTTAATGGTTTTAGGCATCAAAGAGCAGCAGCATCTTCTAATCTTGAAAGCACAAAGATGGACCTCGTTGTTGATGGATTGGACTGCATGCTTAGACCTCTCCAGTTAGTTATTGAGTAAAAAAAGGCAGTTATGTTGCCCAACTTAGCTTAACAAAAAACAAGTTTTATCTATCTATCTATCTATTTTCTCTGTTGATGGGGCTTTTGTAGATTTTCAACTAAACCCAAGTTCTGTAGCAAGTTCGAGTTTCAACTCATCTTTGGTCATCATCATTGAATCAGTTTTCTGTGTTAGGGGATATATGGTTTCTTATCTGTCTTTTAAGCGTACAAAATATCAGCTATTTGACAAAGAAGGTTTAAAAATCTAACAAGACATACACGATTAAAACCATGGATTATATACAACAAAACAAGACCAGCCTTTTAACTCAAAACAGGTATAGGTCCCTAAAGGGATAAGAACAAGCTTCACCATGAAAATCTCTCCCTCAAACCTACGACTTGATGCTACTGTAATGTGATGATGAGCGTCAACATGAGACCCAAGACCTCTTCATTGAGTGCGCTGAATAACCAGAGTTCGTGGAATAAGGATTCATACTGTAAGTTCCACTACAACTTGTAGTCTACAAGTAGTGTTACCGTTCAACTTAAGACTTGTAATGTTTATATTAGACAAGAAAGGATAAGGATCAAGTGCTTCATCATTACCGTGAAAGAATTTTGAAGATGAATAAGATGACGAAAGAAATGCTCGTTTTTCATCCCTTCTCTGAAAGTCATATCCTCTCGGCATTTTTCCAATTTCGACTATATGTAGAGTGTAACGATAATAAACGGCTTTGGTAATATAGAAATATCAGTAACGCCCAGAAACTCAGACTTCAATCCCATATTTCCAAGATTGACGTGGTACCCCATTTTGTTGCTCAACAGAAAGGAGGGCAAAACATAGAAACTACAAAATTTCAGCTAGTCAAAAAAGAGGAAAAGAGCAACAAAACTTAAAATTTTAACTGTCGTCCTACTAATTTAAAGACCCCTCTAGAGGAAAGGGGATTCGTCGTCATTTCTGCAAATTCCAGATCTTGGTCATTTCTGGAAATAGTTCGGTTTCACCTTCTCTATCACTTTCCATAGCGCAGATTTAGCTTCTTCTAGCGTTTCAACACCATGACCTTCCTCAAATGCTAGCCTTTGAATGCTGAACTGAAAAAATCAAACAATTTGAACACAGAAAGGTAAGCTGATAAGCATTGTGCATGATCATGGAGTTGTTAATATCAACTGGACAAAATTGTTATATTTACCTGAGCACCTTGACGAACCCGTACATCTATCCCTTTGCTATCTATAGAAATGAGAGCAGCGTCGTCTACCTCTGTTTCACTAGAAAGTAGCTCTCTAAGCGGCTTCGAGAAGATGGCATTCAGTTCCTAACAAAAGTTAAAGAGGGAAAGGAAGTAAGAGCAAACTCAAATCAATTGAATTTACCAAAGGCCACGAATGGAAACAAGTTTGTTTGAGTCTCTAAGGCGACCAAGAGTGATTTGAAATAAAGCACCTTGAGGTTCTGCTCACCACCATCCACAGCTATTTTATCTGGCTGTAAAGCTTCATACTCTTTGACATCAACCCAAGCGACAGTGCCAAAGCCTCCGATAAAATATATATCACTGCCAATATTCACATTGATTATGGAGTGTATACGTAGAATAGGAGAGAAACAAATCATCCTACATATGTTGGTTACTTAGGGAGGCACAAGTTTGGAAACCAAACCTTATGTTCTGCATTCTAAAATAGTGAAAGTTTCCCCACTGCTCGGAAGGCCCGTGCTGGTGCTTTGCAATATATTGCTTATGAGCCCACTCCTACCAAGCAACAACCAGAGTGATTACGACCCATTACTCGGACATGAAGATGTTTTAGGAGGTAAGATTCATGAACAGGCAACCCATAAATTAGAAAGGAGAGAAATAGCAATTAGTTAGACACACACCTGTTCATCTTCTGACAATGGGTACACATCACCAAATAATGTCACTCTCGCATTCGATAAGCCACTCCATCCAGGTATCTGCCAGCCAAATCTCCGTTACAGAACACATGAGATAACCTTTTGCTTTTGTAGTTTAAAAACACAATATCCAATGTTACCTGAACAACGAGACTGCATCTTGGTTCAGCCAAGAGATTTCGTGTGTGGATGGCCAACGGTGAGAATAAAAATATCGGATCTGGAAACAAAATGTATAAGCCATTCAAGAAAATCTGCATCTATTATCTCAGCAAGCAGACTCAAGACATTTGGTGTACTATTTAAGCATTGCCTTCAATACTATCCAGAGCCCAAAAAACTCCTACAATATATTGACTTCACTTCCATCCTATTCGTCCCCACAAAACCTAAATCAAGATAAACTTTTTACAGTGGGAGGAGTTGAGTACTTATGAATCAATTGTCCACTAGTAAGTCACTAAAACGATAAATCTCAGCATTAAGACAAAGAAGCAACAGTAGAATTAAGAGCAGTCAACAAAGAAAGAAAGATCTCTAGTGACTTACGCCCCATCCGATCAGGTGCAAAATCAACCAAAGAGCCAAATGGGTACCCTTCTCTGCGGTGGTGCATTTTAGACATCACTGTGCATAGATGAGCAAACCTAGCCTTGAATCATTAGAATAAAAAAAAAACAAGACCAGATCACCAGACAGATAAAGAACTGATCACCTCTCTCATTGAAGAAAAAGGAGCTACAGAACAATCTCAAAAGGACAAACCCTTTACCTGCTCGAGCAAGTTCCGTACAGCTAAAGCAGGACGAGGTAACGCATGAGCTGATGTTGCATTTTGAACTCCACCAGATATTGGAGTTCGAAAAAGCCCTGCACGATTTCCCCCACTATTCCCAGCACCCTGAGGAAGTGCAAGAGATGACTCCACATCAATTACACTATGAGAAGTTTCACCGTTGTGATTACTCCCAAGCTTTTCCTTCACACACAAACATTCGAAGCTATTAGCCTACATGCCAAAGCAATTATCTACTTCATATTCATCTTTACACCAATCTAAGATTTTGATTCAATACAAACTCTGCAATTGTATTTTTTTCCAGAACTAGCTTAAGCATGCCCACCAAAAATAATTCCACATACAGCAAAATTAGATTTTTTTTCATGACAAGAATCACAATACAAGAGGAAAGGAGTACCTGTGATAAAGAGAAGATATCCCCGGGAAAAAAGCCAAACCCACTACTTTCAGCGATATTATCTTCACCTTCACTTGGTGTCTCGTTATGTAAGAGAGCTTGTATCCGAAGCCCATGACTTGATCCATCTCTGATTCTCAGCTTGGGGAATCGCTTGGATGGCGAATTACACGACCAACACGAAGACTGGGATGAAGCGCGTAGCAAGGAAGATTTGAGGAGTGGCTTTGTTTCCGGTAAATTAGAGATGTATGCTGAAGTAGAGAGAGCTTCCATGGCAGATTCTACGGAGAGGAGAATAAGATTTAGCTTGAAAAGTTCCGGTCTTTCGACTTTATCGAAAGTAAAGCTTATGGGAATTAGGGACTTTCTCAGAGTAGGGTTTGAAATCAATACACATATAAAGGGTTTTTGTTTTTGATTTTACTTTAATTCTTTTTTTTCGCAAAAGATAGAGATTGAGGGAAATTATGTTTTTACGTCCCAAATAAAGGAATTTATGTATTTAGTTTTTTAACTTTTACATTACATCAATAATTTCGATATATTATGTTTTTTTTTAATATCAGATGGGTGTTTAACATTGGACTAATCAGGATTTGAAGAACAACTAAATTTTTTAGTCTCCAACACTAAATAAATTTCTACCATCTCAAGCGGTTCAAACCATTTTAAACGTTTGGAAAGAAAAATCAACACGTCGACGATACAACTTGTTATCACTCTACCACTAGGCCTACGTGCAATATGCGGGACCCACGTCCAAAAAAAAATATTTTCAAACGTTGTCGTTTTCGGCCCATCCTTCTTCCGAGTCCACGCGCCACCGTCTAAGCTGCAGCGTCATCGCACGCGCCAGTTTGCTTTCAACGGCTCGAATCATTCCAGATGCAACCCCGGTTACATCTTCCACCTTCTTTAGAGTCGGCCACGTCATCGCCTTCCGCGAGTTCTTAACGCCCAACCAAAACGCCGCCGCTAAAATCACCTTCGTCTTTAATCTTGGCTTCTCCACAGCCAAAGCGAGAGACGCCAACGAAACGACCGCGTTTCTGAAACCTTCATTAAGTCCTAATCTATCGCACCATTTTACAAAAACGCCAACCGCAACCGCCTTCACTGTTTTTTCCCTCCCTCGAGCTCTGTTCGCGACGACGACACGCGTCTTCCTCGTCTTCGTCGACGATAGCTCGGAGCAGCAAGAAGAGGCCGAAGAAGAGTGAGATCCAGAACAGCAGCTTGTTCTCGGAGGCCAAGGCGGAAGAGAACCGGAGACGAAATCTCCGGTGAGGGATTCGCAGTCAGGGCAGATGATGCGGCGGAGATGGCGGGAAAAGAGGAAATTAGAGGCGTGGAACTTTGCGTCGCAGGATCGGCAGAGGAAAGCGGAGTCTGCGTCGCAGTAGAGATCGGCTTGTGCACTACACAGCTCGCAGAGTTTCGTCATCCTCGTCGGAATGTCTCTTCTCCTATGGCGGCGATTCAAGAAGATATCCGATCAGAGGACGAAATGTGAGAGAGAGTGTGAGATTCGATTGTAATGATGGGAAGAGTGAAGAGAGATTTTAAGGAGAGCTTTATGGTTCATGGTTTGATGATAATTGTAGTGGCTCTTATTTGAGTCCTTTCTTCACAGTTGACATCAAAACTAAATTGTTTATTTTTTTGTAATGGAAAATTACATCAGCCAGATATTTCTTGGAAAGTTTTTAATATTGCAAAAATTTTGGAAATGAAAATGAATGGTTGTTTTAGAGAATTGGAGGAATGACGTGTCGAGAGGTTTTGAGGCTTACGTGAGATCTGTGGTTATTTTTTAAACCCATTGGCCATTGGACTAGCAGCCATTGTCATTCTTCTTCTTCTGGTGTGACGTGGAGATTTAGTCAACACCAAAGTCTTTTCAGACATATTTGGTCATTGCAATTTGTTTTTTTGTTTGTTGCTTCCAAAACATTTCTTCTGCCTTATTCGAGTCTTTTTATACACATAACTCTACTTTGTAGATTTTGTTTTGTTTTTGGTCGAATACACATGTATTTTGTTTTGTTATTAAGTTTTCCTAATACGTGTTGGGTTTGACCATTTGACTAACAGTTGGGAAATAATAAGAGACTTTTTCACTGTTTTCTCTGATAAAACATGAACTAATAATGATACACATACTCCGTAATTTTATTTCTAAGGGTACAAAAGACATGGTATAATTGTGGTAAACCTGTATGAGGTTTATTTCGGCCCAACTGATACAACAAGTGTCTATCCTGAAATCTTTGTAAAATGGTTCTTTCAATAAATCAACAAAAGACCATAATTAGAAGGGTCTTTGAATAGCCAAAGATTCACACTGTGTTCTCTCGAGCGAGCGTTTGAGCTTACTTATTTCCTATCCGATCCCGACCAAACCGCCTCTGACGTAATCTAATTGGTTTGCGTTGCTGCACGCTGTTGGATTGTCCAAGATTAGCCTGATCATTCCATGGAACAATCTTAAGTGGATGAGCTTCTGTGTTGAAAACCCACTCGTCCAAGGGAATGACCGTTGTGGGCGAGAAGAGGAGATACAGATACTTGAGAGTCTCAGCTAGGAAGAAACTCTGCATCTTGTTGTCCTTAACGCCTGTATTAACCTGGAAAACATGTAGTTTCAAACTTTACGTTATAACAAAGTACAGAGATGATGCTAAAGCTGCTCGAATGATATAATACGCAGTTTGCTTGCTTGCTGCGGGTTTAACGAGTAGCCTGCGTGAGAACTTACATCTTTCAAGCCGACATATCCAGACTCTATGCGTGAATTCTTCTCAAAAGCTTCAAATATATTCCATCCCCAATCTTGGTATGTCTTGTTGCCAGTTAACCGCCAGAGATAAAACAGTGATTCGACGGTTTCTGGTCTCAATATGTTCCACGACGTTCCAACACTCATGTCCTGAATCATCATCATGTTTGTTGATCGTATGCTATAATAGCAAATGTACACATGAAAAATTAGGAAAAAGAGAAGCAAATGACATACACTCCCAGAGTTGAAGAAATAATTCTCCCCAGCCAGTTTTGTTGGTGTTGATTGGTAAAAGTTATAACATGTCCATGCAAGCTGCAGGTAAAGTGGGAAAATAACAATATAGGCTATTTTTTTTGTCTTCAAACACCTACTGATGAAGCTATGATACAAAAGGTCATTTAAGCCATAGCTTTACCTCTTCAGCAAGTGAGAGAAACTTCTTTGCTTCAGCAGGATCACTATACCCAGATGCTCCTAAAGCCAACATTCCAGGAGCAAAGCATGCTAATTCATCCATCTGAATATAGATGAGAAAGAAACATGACAGTGAAAACGCCAGGCAACACAAATTTTCAAGTACCACAATGGAAACAATGAACGGACAGGTATACCTTATCGATCAAAGAACTTCCACTCTTCTCACAGATATATGTAAACGACGAAGGTGTTGATTTCTTAACCAAGCTTAGCAGACCATTCATTGATTTCTCCCACATATCTCTGAATGCCAAGCCACAACAAATCTAATTATTATTCCTTTGGCTAAAAAATATCAAAGCTACAAGACCAGCAAAGAAAAGTAGAACATAGAGATCAGTGTGGCTGAGTTGAATTCAATCAGCTTTCCAATGTTCCACTACTACATTTTCCATTTGAGTTATAGCAACATACTGTATATATACTCAGTAGAAAAGAGATAAACTTACCTATAGTGTTTCACTGCTAAAGTTTTGCTCCCAAACACCCAAACTTTGAGCAAATATTCATAAAAGCTGTAAGTAAAACATTAGCCGTCACATATCAAACCAGAAAGGGTCAGACAAGCAGCAATATAAAACGCATTCAAGTTGGACAAAAAGAAAAACCTGTCTCCCATGGCACCAAATGTCGTGGTAGAGTACGATGGATTAGCTGTATCGGGATTTATATAGATCGGAAGTAAACCATCAGCAGGGAAGTTCTTATTTAGTACTGAAATAACCTTTTCTACCTGAGACAAGAGTTACAAACAGGTCAACCATTGAGTTGCAAAATTATTTCCTACAAGTTATAACGATATGTATCCTGACCTATGTCCAACTCCAATACCTAATCAGTATATACAAATACATAGAGGAAGCTACGAAGGTAAACAAATATGAGAACAGAAAAAGCTCTAAAATATGTAATTTTGAATAAACATCCATATCTTTCTGATAGGCAGATGGAACCGTGCTACAAGTTAGCAGAGAAAATGCACCTTTTGCTGATATTTTGGATCCCCAGTCCTCTGTGAAAGGGCGATAAACTCGAGCTGTTCAGTACCAGAATCTGCAAGAATACTGTCTCCCTAGTACAAGAAACAAGTAAACAATCAAATAAACTAATAGGCTACATGTAGTTTTGATTATAATGTAGGACTTACCCCTGCCCATGTAGGATTGTGAGCATTTCCATGTCTCAAGTTGATAATATTATATGGGATTCCAGATTGAGTGTCCCATGCAGGCAATAATCTGTCTGCAATATCCTTAGCCTTTTCAAGGAAAAGTTTATCCCCAGAAAGATCATACGCACTGAGAAGCCCTCCCACCACTCTGAAAGCCAACAAAGAGAAAATATATAAGCGCAGATGAAACACTTCCATGCCACATATTCTGTTAACGCCAGCCAACAAATAACCTAAACAAGATGACTCTTTTTACTACAGGTAAGAAAACAACATGGTAAACCTGTTAAATGCAACCTTATGGTTGTCTCAAACATACTGGCCGCATAATCCTTGTCGAAATCTAACGAGGTTGCCACCCACCTGCCAATGAAAGACAAAGCAAATGAAAGATGGACACGATGATTCGGCAAAAGTAGGTCGAGCTTTAATTAATGGAGAAGAAAGCAATCAGATGGAAGAAATCTACTCACTCTCTGGCTTTCTGAAACTGCTCATCTAGACCCATAATATAGAGTGTATCTAATGCATCTATCATTGTTGCTCCAAGGCCACCAAAACTGTCAACGCCATCTTTTGTCTGGGGCTGATTATGCCAAAAGAAAAAAAATAAAAATTCTTTGCTTCATACGCATATATCTATTGCATACAAGTGCAAGCAGAAAGTATTCTCATTTTCACTAGTTGAACAACACGATACTTGCAAGCCTTCTGAAAAGTGTTGTAAACTTTACAAAATCTGATAGCACTGTAGTAGAACTCATTGTCCCTAAAAACAAACATAAGCTGTACCTGAAGCTCATCTTGTCCCCAGGCATACTTTTCATACGAACTCCAAGCATGAATCATTGCTTCTTTTACTCTCTGCATTCGCTGGGCATCAACTGGATTTTGCTGGACATCCTTAAAAGCCTTCACAGATACATCCTCCGTGACACTTTTCACCTCTTCTAACTAGCAGAAAACATAACAATGAATTTAAGATCAATAAAATAAGCTCGTAAGTTAATCAGGGCATTGCAAAAGCAAATATAGATACACATAATTCCACATTTTAATATCGAGAAGGACGATTATGTATCAAGCAGACGCAAAAAGGAGGAAATTGAAGTGTTTTGGGTCTAGGAAAAGAAAATATAGCTTACCATCAGCTGCAACCGCAAAACTTCTTCATTTAACTTGGAAACTTCGAACTGCAACACAAAAGTGTAAGAACAAGAACACATTCACCATATCATGGAGCGAATATCAAACAGAGACTCTAGGATTGCATTGGGTTTTCCTCAAGAGCTGGAGTCACACCCAACTAATTAGATCAAGGAGGATAATATCGAGATTCAGTAGAAGGAAGAAAAGTACCTGGTAGTCTCGGGCAAGAGTTTGACGATCCCAAACGACCATGGAAACAGAGACGAAGAGAATGAAGAGCAAAGCTAGACGCCTAGGCCTTCTGAGATAATACGCTGGGTTGAAATATTTCCATATCCCATGACCACTTACCAGTTTACTCCTCGCCATCTGAATTCTACGATCAGATCTCGGAAGTGTCGTATACTCAAAGGTGACAACTTTCGGAAAAGAAGAAGAAATTGAGGTGAAGATAGTAGATCCGTGAAACAAGCGAATATAAGGAAGAAAAAAATGGGAACAGATCAGATCAGAGTAGTTTTGTCGGAGATCCGGTATGAATTAGTTGATGAAGAAGAAATTAGTTAAATTTGGTGCCTTTGGTTTCCCGTCGAGGAAAGATAAGAAAAAACCAAAAAGTCTCTCTTTTTTGGAAGAATGTGTGTTTCTTAACGTACACACTGGTCCGAATATGAATTAGACTCATATGAGAACAAACTTCTATTGGTCTTGTAAAAGCATGTCCGGTGAACCTCTTTTATCAGATATTAATTTTTTTTTTCTTTCTTTTTTTAATTCGAAAATTAAAAACAAATATTTGTCCAATAATATCTTGCCACCTGGACGAATCTGGGTTCATCAAGAGTTCATCAGAGTTGTCCTGATAAACCGATCTTTCCCATAAAAGCATTATTTCTTTTTTTTTTAAATCAAAACTGCCTATGAACTCGAGCCAAACTCCGTCTCCAAACCCCCACTGAACATACTCTAATAATTACACGACCATACAATACTTGAAAGAGAAAGAAACCAAATCTGACAATAGACCATTCAGAAAAATTTTGATTTTTTAGAGTTCCAAGTTTGATTCAAATCCAACAATGTATCTAAGATCTTTGGAAGAGGCAATAGGAAAGCAACAAGCGCATGACTTGTAAATTGTCACACTAATTTAGTTAACGCATCATCTCTTATATATCCAGCTCTATACCTGATCATAGAAATTCTTCTGGTTTCTTTAATGTGAACAAAGACCATGTGTTTGAACGAGTGGGTCACCTTATAGCTATTGTTTTAGATTGAGCTTTCATGTCCTTTTGATATCTGGCTATATATAGAGTTGTGTTGCGCATATAAAAAGTGCAGAAATGGGTCAACTAGACTCTAGGATGATATTTTCTGACTAGCTTATCGAAACTAGTGTTCGAGATTGGTTCTCAAAGGCTCCGAATGGTGACAGCATTTTTAGCTGTGCAGGAAAAGCGGTTTTAGAGTGTGGTACGGTCCAACTGCGGTACGTGCGAAAAAATATATTTGCGGGACAAGTGCAGTTTCTATATAATTAGCGGTACAGAATAATGTTTGATTGGTGAAAAAACATTGCGGTCCACAAAAAATGTTTGAATGGTGAATAAGACTAAAGCGGTACGGATTACAGATTATAAACAAATATATTAAAAATATATATAACTAGTATAATTATAGTTAAATTATTTATTCATTAACTAAAATAAATAATTTTATATATTTATGAACTTTAAATAATCAAATTTTATTTCAAGTAGAAATTTATTTTCAAAAATACATATATTACGAAATAAGATAAAACGATAATTCACAATAAATAAACTCACTTCAATAAAAACATTTATCAAAATATTTTAATTCTAAATTATTTGTTTTGTATTGATAAAGAGACATTTTCAATATATTTATGAACTATAGATTATAAATTTATTAGTTAAGTAAAAGTTACAAACTGAAATTAACCAAATTCTGATTAGAGCTTAATTGATTTCTAAAAATGATATTATTTATTTTTACTACTAATTTTAAATTTATTTTTATTTAAAAGGTTTTATATATTTGTAAGGGTTATGGATGGGAGGAAGTGAGAGAATTAGTTTTTTTTTGTTTGTCAAATTATTAATTAAAAAAAAAAACATTACACAAAGCGGTTTTTGCCTTGGACCGCAGGAGTTAGAGGGTGTTTCATTTGTAATAGCGGTACAGAGTTTTATCCTTAGTGTAAAACCGCAAATTGCAACTTTTTTATACAAGAAAAAAACGCAAATTTTTATGCAAGATAGCTTGATTGGTGACTATATGACGTTTTGTACTTTAATTGGTAGAAATTCGTTTTTACTTTGTTACCATTCAACGCCAAAGTTTGATAGAAATACATCAAAGCATATATAGTTCCTAGAGGAAGCAAAGAGAGTAACCAAGAAATACAATAAACTAATGATAATGAAATGTTGAGACAGAAAAACAGTAATAATTAAATTTAGTAAAATATTTAATAAACAGTAATAATTCAAATTATGCTTTAATGGCAGCTTATTTCCAAGGACTCGAGCCTCTGGATTATGAGGAATCGAGGATGCTGGCGAAGTCATTTTTGTCTCCGGCTAGGCTTTAACTGAATAGAGAGTATTCATTTATCATCTTATTATTGCTGATTGGCTCAGCTTTCCTTGCAGCTGAATTTGGCGGCGAATTAGGTAATGGCGGAGTCAACATTCCCCTACTCTCTGTCCACAGTACATATAGTTCTTCTTCCTTAAGTATTTTGGTTTACTGAGGGGTTAATTGTTTTTTCTTTTTTTTTATATACAGTGTATATGCACTCGTTGGTTATTCAAGAGTCTTATTGGTTGAAACCTCATAACTATCAATGTAATATCTTTATCCCGAGTTTCTGAGAAAGACGGAAAAATCAGATATGTTAGGTTGGCCATCTGAACTGCATTCGATTAGACACCTGATTTGGTCCTGAAAATGAAGCATAAAGAGTGTCGGAGGTTGAGGACAGTAGTAAATGGCAGATCACACCGAGTGAGGAGAGTTTGATATTCATGAAGTTTCAACCAATAAGACTCCTAATAACCAACGAGTGCATGCTCACTATATATATATAAAATTAAACCCTTGGTAAACCGAAACATTACAGAAAGGAAAAAAGGCTACCTGTAATGTCAACATGGAGTAGGGGAATGTTGACTCCGCCACCACCTAATTCGACGCCAAATTCAGCTGGAAGGAAAGCTGAACCAATCAGCAATAATAGGATAATAAATGAATACTCTCTATTCAGTTAAAGCCTAGAGACAAAAATGACTTCACCAACATCTTCATAATCCAGAGACTCGAGTCCTTGGAAATAAGCTGCCATGAAAGCATAAGTAAGATACAAAATGATTCCTCAAAATATATATATTCAAAGCCTAAAGAGAAGAAGACGTACCGAAAACCTCATCGAGATCTAGAAGTGCATCCCCAACATTAGCTGCAAAAATTACACATTAATTAGCTTTTTTGTTTTGTTTTCAAGAAACGGTTATATATTAATTAATTATGCGTAAAACAGAAGACTATTTGACCATTGTTGTTGTTGCTGCCTATGGGATTCATTTTGTGAAGTAAAGATTAGTAAATGATCACTTGTGTAAAACGATAATCAAGAGCTCTGTATTTATACTAGGAGCAACCTTGCTGATCACTAAGGATAACACATCAAGGGCTTTTGAGCAGAATCGAAAGAGAAAGCTTGGCACTTAATGAACAAGAACAAACAAGGATTGAGGATAAGATTCGCTGCTCCTCTGCTTTCTTTTTCAAATATTCCCGTTGGTTTTGTTTAAGTACATCCGTTGTAATTCAAAATTCTCGAAAAAGTTGATTAATTTGCTCGTGGATCGTGGTTCGCAGTTCCCACTCCTCTTTTTCTATTCTCGGTTACTCTGCTTTTTCTATTTTCGGCTGGGTTTGTTTATGTCCGTCGGTTATATTCAAATGCCCGAACAAACAATCTAGTCATTCGATTTGTGACTACATCACAATTTCTGTTTATTGTTGAATGCTTGATGTAGACTACATCACAAGTGGACCTCTTAAATATATATGTTTTCTTTGTTTTCTAACCAAAGAGCTAAAGAGCATCACCAATGCTGATACCCAGTTTGGGTCTCTTAACATTTTTTAATTTCGTTTAACATTTTTTTTATTGGGAAAAGCTCCATGTTTTATACTCCTCCAACCCTGATCCTCAATTTAAGGGTTGGTTCATCTAGATTAATTTATTGTAATTAAGAAAAAATTCAAACATACAATTTTTAAACATATGTTGAACATGAAATACCATAATATTGATAAAGTCAAACTATAAAATATGTTGAACATGAAATACCATAATTTAAACTACAATTTTTAACATAAAAGATAAAGATAGATGAACTAAACCGTAGCCCAAGCGTGCTCCAACGTCCATTCCCGAGCTCTTCCATCAAATCCCGACCTGTCTTCCTTGTACATCTTCGCTATATCTTCATCGTAGTACTCTCCCTCACCCAATGCTGGGTTGCTCAGCATCTCATGAATTTTTGTGAGAACCTTATGGATGGTGCTACTGGGCGAGTAGTAGTCGGTACTGAGCATCCGTAGGAAGATATCTCCACGATCTCCTACGTTGGGGTGAAAGACCTTTGTTCTGAAGAAGACCTTTGGTGGCTTGAACGGGTAAAGGGGAGGAAAGTGCATGTCAATTAGGAAAACTCCGTTCTCGTACGGAGATCCTGCTGGTCCAAAAAGCAGAGCCTTCCAATAACTGATATCTCCATCAACGGGGCCTAATCAAATGTGTCAAAGAAAAAAATTTAGTAGATTACAAGTGTAAACTCGGAAACAACACATTTAAACATAATACTACAACAAAATACTTGTACTGTATAGCGGGCTCTTAACTCGCTCAACTTCCTTTTTCTGAATCATGAGGGATTTCTCCCAGTACAGGACTGAATTGCTTTGCATTCCTCTGCCCATAACAGAAGGGGATCAGAACAATACAAACAGAATGGCAAACAAATACAACGACTGAGTATACACTTAAAGTACAACAAATTCAGTTCGACATCACCTAAACCTAAACCCGAATGATGCCACTCACATAAATCAAATCAGATCACATATTTCAAACAGCAAATCATACTACATATATGAAGCATCATCGATATACCCTCTAAACCTAAACCCAACTGAGACAAATGGAAGAAACCGCAAATGAAACTCAAAAATAAACCGCAATGCAAGTGTAATAAAACGCAAATGAAACCCAAAAAATACAGACACACAAAATTTTTCTCAAATTTCAGAGTTACCCTAAAGTTCATCGCAACAAATCCATCACATATATCATCAAGCATGCAATCCAGTAGTGAACCCCCTACCCAAATTGTAAACCCACGTAGCGATTGTTACGAGGTCGGGAATCTTTACCTTGCTCGTCGCGACGTCCCGATGAATCAGCTTCGTCGTCTCAGCAGTCAAAATCACCGGTAAACCGATTCCTCGGTGACAGGAAAATACTCAGGGAAAACCACTCGATTTCTCTCTCGAAAACAAAATGAGACGGCAAAAAAAAAAAACGAAAAACACACCACTTTCCTTTCCATTCCAGCCACTCACTTTGCGCCACGTCATCAACGATACTGGCTTGAGACGGGCTCGTCGGTCTCATCTGGAAGAGACGGTACGTCCAAATAATTCGGCCCAAAGGTTTTTTTATTTGCATTCTACCTCTTCGAGCCCACTGACGTACCGCGGATGATACCGCGTTGGAGATGACCTAATAGCCAAAAAAATGTTCTTTGTTTTCTAAATCAAAGCGAGTTGTGGCTCATGAGTTTCTAACCAACGCGAATCTCTACCAAGTGAAAAGGTATTCTTCCACAACAATAACCATGCCTAAGGATTAAACCCTTTGAAGAAGATATCGAGCAAATTTTATTGGGAAATTTAGTTAATTTTATGGAACTATTCAGCAAATTTTAGGATTCTCTTAGGATGGTGGACGATTTTTGTGTGTGGACAATGGATGAATAATTATTCACTCATAAAGTAATCATTCGATTTGTGAGAAAAAAAAACATAAGTAATAAATAGTCAATCAAACAAATAAAAAGCCATTAAGCGCTAAATCCAAAACATTACTGAGTTCAGTTAAATTCAGTTGATTTTAGTTGAAAATGCATTCAATGTTACAGTATAACCAATAAATAATAAATTAATGATAATGAAATGTTGACAGAAAACAGTAATAATCAAATTTAGTAAAATATTTAATAAACTTTACAAACTAATTACAAAAATCTGTGTGGACCAAAAAGAGAGATCGTCCCATACTTTTACAGAGAGTTAAGTAAAAGTAAAAGTAGTAAAAGATTTACTAGCTCTGCTTACTGTCTCACGCCGACTTGTCTTCTACATATGTTGCATGCATGTGTCGCTCGTTTTCTAGTCTTTATACTATGATTTGGCCCTGATTTCTGTTAACACTATAGAAAAACCAAAATATTATATTCAATTGTTTATAGAGATGTAATACAAAATTTGAAATGTTAGTTAATTACTCTTAATTAATATAACAATTTAAAAATATGTATTTATTTAATTAAACATTTATTATACACAAATTTTACAAATCAGATAAAAAACTTTATAAAATCTGGTTGGACCAATGAGGAGGATGAAACCTTAGCCTATGATCTCACCTTCCCCATATTTATAGAATAAGATTATCTATCTCCAATCTACCTCTCTCATTTTCTCTCGCTTGCTCGCTCGTCTTCTCCATCTGTAGCATTTTTTCTATAAATTGTTAAAAAATGACGAACAGAAACCTTTCTGAAGATTTGGTGGTGGAGATACTGTCTAGGGTTCCGGTGGTATCTCTGGCGCGATTAAGATCGACATGCAAAAGATGGAACATTCTGATCAGAGATGGGAGACTTGCCAAGAAGCACTCTGCTAATGCACCAAGGGTTCTCTGGTTCTCATGCTTATTGAGTTTAGGGTTTATTTATTAAATGTTGATTTTCGTGGAATCCACGACAACAACGTTGTTCAATCTGCAAAAATAACAAGTCAATTCAGCCTTAAAGACCCTATTTTTGATTCTTCGGAAGAAGAAGTCTATATACGTGAAGTTTTTCATTGCGACGGCTTGTTGCTATGCACCACCAAAGACAGTAATAGACTTGTGGTTTGGAATCCATGTTCTGGGGAAACCAGGTGGATCCAACCTAAAAATTCCTACAAGGAATCTGACCGTTATGGTCTCGGTAAATCCCTTTGCAACAAGTACAAAATCTTGAGGCAGGATAATCTTAGCATTTCAAGCCAAAATAGACGTTACGAGTACGAAATCTATAACTTTACCTCTGATTCATGGAACGATATTGATGTGAATACCGACGGTTACATTCCAGGGAGTTAGGATCATGGCATGTCTGTGAATGGAAACACTTACTGGCTTCATCCTGATGAACCATACTTACTAAATTTTGATTTTCAATTTCCAGTTTTTGTTCTCTTATTAGTTATGGGTTTTTATTTCTTGTTTTTTGTATCATCAATTGCTGGTTTCTTTTATCGACATGGGTTGCTTACACCTGAATAGGATATTGGTTCATATATATATAACAAAAATGGTTTATGAAGATCGAGTTAAAAACGGTTTTATACCCATACCCTAAAGCAAAGCCTCTGCACCTTGAAAACAACTAACTTAACAGCGAGTATTGGTGAGAGATTTGGTAAACGAGACGCTACAAATGAGAGAAATTGGAGCGTTTATGCATGTGTAGCCCTACGAGCCAAAGTATCGATGCTGATGGATTACTATTAGACTAATTTCAACATATCAAAATTGTCATTATAGTTTCTATGAAAAAACTGAGTTACACAAATATATTAAAAGAGAACAACTAAATAACATTGAAAACTATATAGAAAATAAACAACCAACAAATTAGACTTGTAAATTGGCCCGCGTCAGCCTGAAGAAATTGATATTTAGTTACATATTTTGTTGTACCAATTACTATAATTAATGCCTGAAGAAATTGATTATTTATGCAGCTGGAGTCTTTCGTTGGAACTTGATTAACATGGCTAAAGAGTAATAGATATTTCGAAAAGAGATTGATAAACTGAATTAGTAGCTTAATTTCATATGCTCAAACCCGAAGAGAATGCATAACATTATGATCGACTAGCACATTCTCTCTTATATATCTCCCTCAGACAATTGCCACTTTTGCTGCTCTTCAAGTAATTGTCTTGAAGAACATATTTTAAGGGCTCGAATAAAAATTTGGAGACTATCACTCTTCCTCCTCCTAGGATGTTTTCACTCCAACGAGTAGGAGAGACCAACAAAGGATGATGGGAAAAAGGCCTGAAGCCCATTTTGAAGCTGCGGAGTGTTTTCATCTTAAAAGGCTTAGGCCCATTTTAGACAAGGCTATTGGGCTCAAAAACCTCGCAGATAAAACGACTCCGTTCTCTATCAAGGGAATGAAAACAAAAACCAAAAATGGAAAACATAAAATCATCGTACCAGAAAAAGAAAAAGAAAAAAAAAATCAAATCAATCAAAGAGTTCCTTTTTCGCTCGCGTCTCTCCGTTTGCCCCTTTTCTTTGTATAATCAAATCCTGTTTATCGTGAATCAGCACTGTCTCCCTCCATTGTCGCCATCATTTTCTAGGGTTCTTCATACTTATCGCTTTGGTTGCTCTGAGCAACAAAAAAGGTACCCATTTTGACCTCAATTTTAGAGCTGTTTACCTGTTTGCTTGTCGAAGTCAGAATTCATTCTCAAGATGATTATGTATGACATGAGAAGTGGGCTCTAGATTGTTTGTAGACTTGTTGAATTGGCTATCTTTTCTAGAGCTATTATTTGGCAGCAACTGTACTTGGGATTTGCAGTTGTTAAAGTTTGGTCCTTTAATGTCTATTGTTCCTTGCTCAAGGTTGAGAGTGTGAAAGAGGCAGGATTTCTCAATCGGGTCTAATTGATTCTTTGTAGGTTCTGTGTTTCTCGTTAATTCAAAGCTATATGAAATTTATGTTGCTGGATTTGGGAAAAAATTTCTGTTGTTAGGGTTTAAGGTGTTTCTGGCTGTTGTTGCTTAGGATTATCTCTAAGTTTGATTATTATCAATTACTGTTGTTATGAAGGAAGCTATCACTGCTGATATATTCTATATTAGCTTCAAGATATCATCCTAATCTCGGGAAACTAAGATTCGTACTTTATATCACAGAGCGGTCATACTTTATATCATAGAGCGTGTCGTGTCTCTTACAATTGCTTGGTATGGAACATTTGAACTAATAAAACCTTAAAAATCTATTGCAGTAGGGAAAGAATTGTAACTGACAATTTAACCATCAATGAGGTTTCTTTATGTGACTGTTTCTTGGGGTCTTGCTAGCTGAGTTAATGTGATCATATATTCGTATGTACCGCATTTTGATTGTTTTTTCTACCTTTCATGTCTTAGCAATCTAGCTTTTCAATTTAGGAGAAAAAAATCAGTTTTAACCAATGTTCTGTTTCTTCTTTGATGAAGAAAGACCATGGATGACCTTCATGGAAGCGATGGTGGAATGCACATCGGTTTAGCTCAAGATCCTATGCATGTCCAATATGAACATCACGACTTGCACCATATCAACAATGGAAACGGTTTGATGGAGGACCATGTTGATAATGGGATAAATGAAGGAGTGGAGATAGACATTCCTGCTCACCCTGGAATCTCATCTGATCATCGCGGTGAAGTTGTAGACCGTGGCAGTGAAAATGGAGATCAATTGACATTGTCCTTTCAGGGACAAGTTTATGTGTTTGACCGTGTCTCACCGGAGAAGGTGATTTCTAATTTTTTCTAGTAACTTTGGTTTCTTTGATGATGACTTGTTATGGTATCTTTAATTTTTCTATATATTAAAGCTCTGCTTGATATTTCTTACTGCAGGTTCAAGCTGTGCTATTACTACTTGGTGGACGAGAAGTACCACAGACACTCCCGACAACCTTAGGATCACCACATCAGAACAATAGGGTACTGGTAATAAAAGATTTAATACCATATGGGAATAAGGTTTTAGTTGTTGCTGACAAATAAATGAACCAGGGTTTATCTGGTACTCCTCAAAGGTTTAGTGTCCCTCAGCGACAAGCCTCGTTGATCAGATTTAGGGAGAAACGAAAAGAGAGGAATTTCGATAAGACCATTCGCTACACAGTAAGGAAGGAGGTAGCCTTGAGGTACGTTTATGTTTAAATCGACAACTGTAGGTTTTGATTTGTTTTGAGATTTGAGATTACGCTGTTTTGGTAAGTAAAGGTTTCGTTTTTTTTTTCCGCATGCAGAATGCAGCGTAAGAAAGGCCAGTTCACATCTGCCAAGTCAAGCAATGATGATTCTGCATCTACTGGATCGGATTGGGGGTCAAGCCAGAGCTGGGCCTTAGAAGGGAGTGAGACTCAGAAGCCAGAGGTTTTGTAAGTTGAAAAATGCATTTAAATCTTTTACAGCAGTTTTATTAACCTCAAGGAACTTTAAAACATGTTGGTTTCTTTGGGAGGTTCTTTTGCTAGATACTTCAACTCTGAAACGTATATATCAAAGCACACTCCTAGGAACTGATAAAACTTATTTGTAGCTTGCTATACTTTAGTTGACAAAGCTTATCTCTGATAGTTTTCTTGTTCAAACGGTTGTGAACATATTTTAGATGCCGGCACTGTGGAATCAGTGAGAAGTCAACTCCAATGATGCGACGTGGACCTGAAGGGCCAAGAACACTTTGTAATGCATGTGGCTTAATGTGGGCAAACAAGGTAAGCTAATTACTTTCTTTCGTATCACTTTTTGACTCAGTGATCAGTCTGATATTATATCCCAACCATAAACTTAACAATAACGTTTATCCAATAACAATTTTCAGGGGACTCTTAGAGACTTATCCAAAGCTCCTCCTCCTCCTCAAATAGCCCAGAATCTGCCTGCAGATACGAATGAGGTGAGCAACATCAGTCTTTTTCTTTTGATCTATATCTCTTGTGATTAAAGAGGAATTCATAAGTTTGGATTTTGATTTGCTTTTTAAGATAACATGAACTCAATATTTTCTTGTTTCAATCAAATTGTTGCAGGACCCAAATCTTGAGGCTGATCAAATGACCGGAGTAGCCGGTGACATCAGCAGCTAATAGTGAGAACTGAGAAACCACTTTTTTTTTTTCTTTTAAGAAAAAACAGCAATCTATTATCTAAACTTATTTTGCATTCTAAAATACTGTTTAGTTTTTGTTCTTTAGTTATGACATAAAATATTGGTTACGAAGCGTACTTAGTAGATAATCACTTAATGAATATAAAATCGAAACAATGATTGGTTATGTCGTGCAACCCAAGTGACCTTTATGTCGTACACACGTTCACCAGGTTATTATAGGAACTTTCTCTGCAACTTCATTCTTCTCTCTCCATGCCACATATTCCATTATATGTATTCTTTTGAGAAAATGATAAAATTTTCTTATTTAGTTTATGTAAAAATGAAATGGATAACAAATAAAAAAAAAATGTAGGCAGATCTGAGAACAAGGGAATGATAAAAAAATATTAATTAAAATTGAGATTGTTTAGATACATTATTAACGGTGAGAGATGCCATGTTCTTTCCCGGGAAAATCTCTTTTCTTTCGTTCTTCTTCTTCATCATCTTCCTCTATTTCCCATAAAAAGAAAAATAACAAACAAACTTTCCGTAAATTTGGCAAATCAAGACCAAAAATAGTAATGTCCTCATTCAATTGAGTTCTCTCTTTCTAAATTTTTTTTCTTTTTTTTTTTTTTTCTTGGGAATCAAATATTGTGTCGTTGTGAAAGCTCAAAATTAGTTTCTCTTAGTTTTCTCTGTGATTGACAGAGAGGTAAGAGAAAGAAACAGAGAGAGAGAGAGAGAGAGTGTTTTCGGTTTTTGTTGCCTTCTCTTCTTACGAGTTAGGCCTTCTCTCTCCGTCACGCCAAATTAATAACGACCAAATCACAAAAAGGTCGTTTCTTTATTTCTTTTCCTTCTCTGTTTCCCGAGAAAATTTTAATAGAAGGAGGAAGAAGAAGAAGAAGAAGAAGAGGAAGAAGAGAAAGCTGGGAGAGACGAAGGAAGGAAGAATGAGCACTTCGTCGAGCAATGGATTGCTCCTGACGTCAATGTCAGGACGACACGACGACATGGAAGCTGGCTCTGCCAAAACTGAAGAGCACTCTGATCACGAAGAGCTTCAACACGATCCTGATGATCCTTTCGACATTGATAACACCAAGAACGCCTCCGTCGAGTCTCTCCGTCGCTGGAGGGTATCTCTTTCTTCTTCTCCGATTGATTCTCCTTTCATCGATTTCGAGATTCGATCGAGAAAATGTTATCTTTGATTTGATCGTCAAAATTTTCTTCTTTTGCAGCAAGCGGCACTTGTGTTGAACGCATCGCGTCGATTTCGATACACTTTGGATCTAAATAAAGAAGAACATTATGATAATCGAAGGAGGATGATCAGAGCACATGCTCAAGTCATAAGGGTAATTCTATGATTTCACCAACAATTTTTTAAGCTCATTTTTGTTCTGTGTTTTGTTTGTTTCTTGATCTCACATCAGTGATTGATTTATTGAATCAGGCAGCATTGCTTTTTAAGTTGGCTGGGGAACAACAACTTGGTATTCAATGATCTCTCAATTTTTCTTACACATAAGTCAAATCAGATTCTGTTTTTTTAATGAATCTTGGTTTCTTTGTTGGGATCAGGGTTTGGCTCATCATCAACTCCAGCAGCTTCCACTGGTAACTTTGACATTGACCTTGAGAAGCTTGTGTCAATGACAAGGAACCAGAACATGTCCAATTTGCAGCAGTATGGAGGGGTAAAACATACAGAGACTCTTATTGCATTCTCATTCTATGTTATATAATAGGAAAGATTGCATGATACTGACACGTTAACTACTTACCTTTCAGGTCAAAGGTGTTGCAGATAAGTTGAAGTCAAATCTAGAGCAAGGTATCGAGGAAGATGAGAAAGAGCTGATAGATCGGAAGAATGCTTTTGGATCTAACACGTATCCAAAGAAGAAGGGGAAAAGCTTTTATGTAAGCAACTGTGACCGTTTCTATTGATAACTTCTTGGCCGGTGTTTACTTACTGTTGATAACTCACAAGATTCAACTTTCTTTTGTCCAATAGATGTTCCTCTGGGAAGCTTGGCAGGATTTAACTCTTATCATCTTGATTATAGCGGCTGTAACATCATTGGCATTGGGAATCAAAACAGAGGTATGCTTTCCTTTCAGAAAATTTCCTTCTTTATTTTACAAACCAGGAACTCACTTATTTATGTCTTATCTACTTTCTTTTGGTTACTACTTCATCAGGGTTTGAAAGAAGGTTGGCTTGATGGTGGAAGCATTGCGTTTGCAGTTTTGCTTGTCATTGTTGTTACAGGTATGAACATGCTTCTTCGTCTATTGCCTGCATTTAATTAGTATTTGTGTTTCTTGCTATCCATATAAGATGACACTTACTTGACGCTTTTATCTTTTGATTCTTTCAGCTGTTAGTGACTATCGTCAATCTCTTCAGTTTCAAAACCTCAACGATGAAAAACGAAATATACAACTAGAGGTGTGCTTGCTTGCTTTAACATCTTAGATTGTTTGTAGATTTTATGTTTTTGAGCTGAGAATTAAATAAAACGAAAACTCTTGTACAGGTCATGAGAGGAGGGAGAACAGTGAAGGTTTCAATCTATGACGTTGTTGTCGGAGATGTTATACCTCTTAGAATAGGTGACCAGGTAGGTATCATTTTGTCAATATATTCCATCTTTGCCTTCAGAATTATACTACACTTTGGCCTTTACGAATTGTATCCATCTAGGTCCCTGCGGATGGAGTGCTAATTAGTGGTCATTCTCTTGCTATTGATGAATCTAGCATGACCGGTGAAAGCAAGATTGTGAGTTCACAATGGTTCTTCTTGTGAAATCTTATGCTTATTTTCTCTCTTCCTACTTGCTAACACAGACCATTGTTGCAGGTTCACAAGGATCAAAAAGCTCCTTTTCTAATGTCTGGTTGTAAAGTCGCTGACGGAGTTGGTAACATGCTGGTATGACTTCGAGGCTTTTTAGTCCTCTTCTCACTTTCTGTTTGTACACACCATTTATGGGAGTCTTTCCACAGGTTACTGGTGTTGGGATCAACACTGAATGGGGATTGTTGATGGCAAGTATCTCAGAGGATACAGGCGAAGAAACCCCCTTGCAGGTATATCATCTTGATCACTTCTTTAAATATGTTATGGTCTCTACACAATGCCTTGAAGAAGCCTAACAAACTCCTTTTGGTAATGTTATAACAGGTGCGGTTAAATGGTCTTGCAACTTTCATTGGTATAGTGGGGCTCTCAGTGGCTCTTGTTGTCCTGGTGGCTCTTCTTGTCAGGTAATCTGATTTACCTTGGTCAGTAAATCTTTTGGCTTACACCACTTTATGCCAAAATCCTGATGGCTCTAATCTTGAGTTTTTTCTGTCAGATATTTCACCGGAACTACCCAAGATCCTGATGGAAAAACCCAGTTTGTCAAAGGGACGACTAGTATCAGTGACATTGTAGATGATTGTGTAAAGATATTTACAATCGCTGTAAGTATCATGAGTTCCACATTTCTTGATTATGTTATTCGTTAGACATATCAAGTAATTCTGGCTTTTGTTTAGGTTACTATTGTGGTTGTGGCAGTGCCTGAGGGACTTCCACTAGCAGTTACTCTCACGTAAGTATTGCTACTTAATATTAAACCCACTCAGAATATTATCAACTACATGGTAGTTGTTGATCAACCTTTTCTTGACTCCATGTTTGCAGTTTGGCTTACTCAATGCGAAAGATGATGGCAGACAAAGCTTTGGTAAGAATCTAAACGGGTCTTCTCGCTTTAGTTACTTCTTCTTGATCATTGTCTTACCACATTTCAATTGCTAACAGGTTAGGAGACTTTCAGCTTGTGAAACCATGGGCTCAGCAACAACAATCTGCAGTGACAAAACTGGAACTTTAACATTGAATCAGGTCAGTGTCTATTAAAACTATCAACGCAATGGGAGCTTCTTCCTTTGACATGAAAATCATGATACTCTTCTTCATTGCAAAAAATACAGATGACAGTGGTTGAGACTTATGCTGGAGGATCAAAGATGGATGTAGCAGACAACCCCTCTGGGCTCCACCCTAAACTTGTTGCCTTAATAAGTGAGGGTGTGGCACAGAACACCACAGGAAACGTTTTTCATCCCAAGGTTGTTTTTATTGGATTAAAACTAGCCAAAATGATGATTTACTTACTTTTTAAGCTCATACTGAGGTTACCAAATGGTGGATGTTTTAGTGCTCATGTTTGTTTTACTGTAGGATGGTGGAGAAGTGGAGATTTCTGGATCTCCCACAGAGAAGGCTATTCTGTCTTGGGCGTATAAGGTATCAAATGTTTGTTTACTCTGTTCCATCTTTGACATTTCCTCTGTACTATGGGCAATATATTTAAACAAGTGATTGTTGCAGTTGGGGATGAAGTTTGAGACCATCAGGTCGGAGTCTGCTATCATCCATGCTTTCCCTTTCAATTCAGAGAAAAAGCGTGGAGGTGTTGCTGTGCTTCGAGTAATTTCTTCATCCTTTCTCCAGTTTTCAATATCAGGGAATTAGAAAATTGATGTGGAAACATTGGAGTAACTAGTTGCTTCACTTCACTGCTAAGAACACATGAACTTCTTCTCATCTCCATTCAATGAGGAAAGTCTCCAAAAATATTATATGAAGCTGATGAGGAGTATATTAACTCGCTGCAGGGTGATTCTGAAGTTTTCATTCATTGGAAGGGAGCAGCGGAGATAGTTCTGGCTTGCTGTACACAATACATGGACTCAAATGGTACTCTGCAGCCCATTGATAACCAGAAGGTAAGGTGCCGCAAAAATTTGGGAATAACAATCTCTCAAATTTCTGTAATGTCACTTGAAGGACACACTCTGTTAGCTCAAGAGGACTAAACATTTGCCTATACTGTGCCTCTCATCTCAAAATTTTTCAAAAACTTTTGTGTTTGGAAATTATTTTACAGGAATTTTTCAGACTTGCTATTGATGCAATGGCGAAAAATAGCTTGCGATGTGTTGCCATTGCATGCAGAACACATGAGCTGAACAAAGTTCCCAAGGAACAGGAGGACTTAGATAAATGGGCTTTACCAGAAGATGAGTTGACTTTACTTGCTATCGTTGGTATAAAGGTAAGCATGCTAAAAGCTTTTCTTGAGTAACTAGCTTTATGTGTTCACT